CAATGCAAAGAAAAGGGGGTTTTCCACTATTTCTTTCTGTCCCTCAGAGAATGTCTCTTTGCTTTCACTTTATGACTGTAAAATTAAAATCAGCTGTATTTCTCCCTGCCCGTTACAGCTGCGCTTCGGCTCGCTGGGGCTGTGGTTGGGACAGTCCCTGCTGAAACGTATAAGCAAATCATTGCCATTCACACCACCACCGAACATTCCCAGCTCTGGCTGTACCGGGATTCTCCCAAATTTGGGGGACAGGTTGCAGGGACACCTGCAGCAGTGTCTGCCCACAAGACCTAGAGGAAACATCTCCTCCTCGCTGTGGAAAGGCTTTTAAAAGGCACAAAGGTGGCCAGCGCAGCTGTGAAGCCGATCCGCTAAGCCGCAGCGGGGCAGGGCGGGCAGAGCCCGCGCCCCGCGCCTGCCCCAGCGGCGGGCGGGGACGGGCAGGGCAGGGCCGGGCCGGGCCGGGCAGAGCAGGGCAGGACAGGGCAGGGCAGGGCAGGGCAGGGCAGGACAGGACAGGACAGGGCAGGGCAGGGCCGGGCTTCCTCGGGCACAGAGCACCCTCTGCTGGGGAGCCACGCTTCTCCGGAGGAGAGCATGCCCGCCCGCGGCACAGCCCTCAAGGACGCCTGACAGGGGGTTTTCCATCCCACGGGCTGGCTGCTTGGCGAAAGGAAGGAGCAGCGCGTCTGTCTGCCTGCATGGCAGCTCACCCCCTTTTTATTTGTATCATGAGGCCACTGCACTGCTCGGTGTAAACAGCAGAAGGACGCAAACAGCAGTTCAGCACTTCCAGTCCGTGGCTTATCATCGACCTGCCACGACACTGGCTGTGGCCTGTCACCTCCCCTGCCACAGCTGCTAGCTAGAAAAGACGCCCCAGCACCACAGAGGAACAGCCGTGGCCCAGCACTTGCCTCCTCAGCGCCATTCCCAGACCTAGTCCCGGCTGCTCCACGGTTCCTGAGTAGTTCCTCCCTCCCTCGGTGCCGAAAGCAGCAGAGAACAGGGAGCGTCAGGGAACCAGGGACATCTTTGCCTGCACAGAAGTGGGGATGCAGGGCCTGTTCCTCACAGCGCTGTCACCTGGCATGGCACAGACCGAATAAAAAGGCAGATTCTGCCTGCAAATCCCACGCTGTGAACGCAGGCAGGTGGCACCTGCTGGGCCTCAGGCCGCTTCCCTGCCCGAGCCGAGCTGCTGCCCAAACAGTACTTTAACCCAGCTCCGGCTGGGTGTGTTTGAACAAACAGGAGGTTCCCCAGCTGCCGTCCGTCAGCAGCGCTCGGCGCCCAGCACACCCCAGAAATGCGCTTCCTTCCCCGCCTCGGCCTCTCGGCCGCCCTGGCCGCCGCCGCCTTCCTCAGCTGGCGGCTGCTGCTCCAGAGCCCGGCCCGCAGCCGCGCAGGTAAGGCCTGGCCCGCAGCCGCGCAGGTAAGGCCGGGCCCGCAGACACTCAGGTAAGGCCTGGCCCGCAGCCGTGCATGTAAGGCCAGGCCCGCAGACACTCAGGTAAGGCCCGGCCCGCAGCCGCGCAGGTAAGGCTGGGCCCGCAGCCGCGCAGGTAAGGCCTGGCCCGCAGCCGCGCAGGTAAGGCCGGGCCCCGCGGCACTTCTGCACGGCCGGCAGCCGCCCTGTGCTGCGGGGAGCTGCCCTGCAGCTTCTGCCAGAGCGTCTGGCTGGGCAAATGCCTACAGGACAGACAACGCCCTTGGCACGGTGTTTGTGGAGAAAGGCCTTGCTGTGGGGGCCTGCAGCTTTATGTTCTTAGTGGGGTCATTGATTTCAGGTGTGGTGGGGAAAACAGGTGTCAGGCTGCTGGAGGGAACTCCCAAAACTTTTGTTAGGAAAACTTTTGTTGTTTTGTTGTGAAATGCTGTCGGGAACGCAACAGGGAACAGGGGTATTGGTGATTATTGCTTTTCTTGCCTAAAAAAATGCATCCTTCCTTCCAGTTCCCATCATTCCAGGGCAAAGTCATCACTATATGTTGCAGACATTGTCATTCTGGGACTGAGCGAGTCTAAGACCAGCTCAGGATAGCTTCAGGCACCACTGTGTTTCTTCCTGTGTTCCTGATGTCCTTTGCCTAATTTTAACTGTGCTGCTCTGCTTTTCACTGTGCTGCTCTGTACAAGAGCCTCCCCAAATATTTAACTTCCTGAGGACACAGAACAAACCATCAGTCTCCCCAGGGCTGCCAGATGCCTGCACTGACCAGATGAGGCAGATGTGCTGCTGCTAAAGAAAATAAACCAACAAGGCGGGCATTAATCTTCTACATTCAAACCCACTCTGGCCTTTTTACATCAAAAATAAGAAGACAAAAAAAAGCAAAGCTGAAATTTGAGAAATTAAACTCACTCTCATAGAGTCTTTGTATTTGCTTTTGCCTTTTATATTTGCTTTGTTGTCATCTCACTTCTCTTTGCTTTTTGCTTTTTATTTGCTTTTGCCTTTTTATCTGCAAAAGAAAAGGTTTACATATGGGAGTGATGCAAGAAATGATGTCATTTGGGTCCCTAAATCACCCAAGCCATTAAGAATAATCCCTTACTCACATATACTTGGTAGCTGATGTTAACCTATTAACAGATGCAAAAGTGTTTGCAGGACATCATGTATTTGTAGCTACAAACCAAATTACTACTGTCTGGTCTCTCAAAATATTTTTGATTCTTTGGTAAACTCACCTCTGTGATGTTCAGCTGCAAGGAAGGAGTTAAAAGCAAAAATTATGATTTAGCAGAGAACTGGGCCTGTGGAATAAATCTTTAGATCAGTTCTCAGGCATGGTGATTTGGGGAAAGGGGGGGTCTAGGTGTCCATAATCTCACATGTTCATGGGGACAGAAACCCATTTCCCAGCAAAGCCAAGCTCTTTGCCAGATAGGGCTGGCCTCCTCTCTCCCACCCATTTTGTCCATGCTGAATCCCTTCCACAGTGAAAAACTGCAGACGAGCCTGCAACAGCACTGTGTGCCTGGGGTCTGACTTGGGGCACTGTGTTCTTTCCTTACCCCCATCTCCAAACGCTGTTTCCCAGGTGACCTGGCCCCCAAGGCAGAGGAGGGCTTCACTTTGACACTGGACACCTTTCTTCACGTCCAGCAGCTCAGGAAGAGGCGACTGAGAGCTTTCTGCAGCCAAGCAGGAAAAGTCAGCAAACTGCCAAGCAACCAGGAAAAGAGAGCCTCCCTGCTCCCAAGCCTGAGGGTGAACACCAAGCTGGACCTCCTCTACTGCCAAGTGCCATCAGCAGGGCTGGAGGAATGGCATCAGCTTTTGGAGAAGCTAGAGGAGGAAAATGTGACGCTGCCAGTGCTGCTCCCCTACCACCAGCTGCACACTAAGGAGACACGGCTGAGCGAGTTCAACCAGACGGAGATAAAGGCCATGCTGGGGTCTTACACCAAGGTGCTGTTTGTCAGGGACCCTTTCCACAGGCTGATTGCCACGTTCCTGCAAGGCATGGGCATCAGCCCATCCTTCAGCAGCTTCGTCCAGGAAGTGCTAGACAGTGGAATGCACAACAGCAGCGTGGCTTGGAAACCACTGGTCAGCCTGTGCCGGCCCTGCCTCATCCAGTATGACTATGTGGTGATGTTTGGCTTCCTCAGGCAGGAGCTGGGCCACCTGCTGCGCCGGGCTGGGCTGCCTGTGGGCAGCCTCCTCCCCGAGCTCACCGACAGCCAGGTGCAGTGGACCTACAGGTGGTTGTCAGAGCAGATGTTCAGTGAGCTGTCTGCCCAACAGAAGAAGCAGCTGTCTCATTTCTACCGCTGGGACCTTGCTGCTTTTCCATTTTCTAGCAGTTTCCTGTCAGACCATCCCAGCACCGTGGAGACCTGGCAGAATTAGCCTGTATGGAGGAAGTGTTTCAGGGAGCATTAATCCATAGGCAAGTGCTTCAAGAGACTGACAGGCCTTTGCTTCCCAGCTGCTTGGGTGAGGTTTTCCATGTCACAGTCCAAAAGACCTGTCAGAGAGCTGAGACACACTACTTCCAGGGATGGGGCATCAACGTGGTTGAATCGTGCTTAAACACAAGAGCAGGCACTAGGGAAACTTGTGGCACTGGACTTGGAAAACCGCATGAACTGAACTGCAATGGGATAAACCCAACAGTTTGGGGTAGGGTGGGCTGGATTTGCTGCAAACCACTGTAGCATCACACATGCCCATGCTGACATTTCCTTTTCTGTGCTCCATGTTGGGACGAGAGGTTTGGCAATGGCTTCTTCCTGACAAATCTTCCCACTCAAGATACAAGAAGTGCTCCCAGAGGAGCATGTCACCTGGAGGCTGAGATGTAACACAGCGTGGCAGACCCTGCTGGGGAGCCAATGGCAGTGTTCTCAATCTTTTCATGCTCAGGGAGGGTCAAGCCCAGCCCGTCATTTGGTCTTTCCTGTTCTGTGTGAACTGTTCCTGTATTACAGCCTCATCTCCTATGTGTGTGGGCTGAAGTGGGCCTTGGGGTTGGGACCCAATGTTTGCTCCATTCACAGGTTTTGGGTTTGGCTCCCCTCCTTCCAGGGCTGACTCCAGTGGGCCAAGGGCAGCATTCAGCTCTGTGCACTAGCCCTGAGACAAGGAAGTGTCAGTGTGGACCAGGTACCAGCCACAGCACCAGACAGACTGCCTCCCACCTTGTGGCAGCAACTGGTGGCTAGAAGTGTCAGAATGCATCACTGTGCTGCTATGGAAAACAGGATGTGGCTACTACAGGCTCTTGCTGGCAGAGAAGCATGAGGACTGACTCTGCTTTCTTTTGGACTTGGCTGCCAGCATGGCCAGACAGAGGCCCAATCTCTCCAGCTGGCTCACAGCTTCATCCAGCTGGGCAGCCCAGAGCAATCACCCGCCCTGTCCCTGCCTTGGTCACTGAGCTGATCTGACTCACAGCCCATGGGAAGGGTCCATCTTTGTCAAACAAACACCAAGGATGAGTTGTCTAGATTTCAAATCCTGCCAGACTCTGACCATAGCATACTTGTTTCCAGAGTATTTACCAGCTTTATTTTGCAGTGTTGTGACAGTCACAGAGAATTCCACTTACATTCATGGTACCGTTTTGACAGCTCTCATTAAAGTATGCTAGTGAAAACTGTTGATTAGACCTGACCTAAAACAATTACCAAAATCTTGGCCTCCCTCTCTCACAGAAGGCCATGCAATTAATAGCATTAAAACATCAGATCAGCTAGGCTCCTTTCATACTCCCACACACTCTCCAGCTGCAGTAATTATTATTTAAGTGTCATTATTTTGCGCAGTACTTCACAGTCTAGCAAGATGGCATAGTTCCTCTTCTGAGGAGAGACTTCTGGAAGGAGAAAAGCAGCAAATTTCCCATTATATGCCATTAAATTAGTGTCTTGCATCCATGCTCTATTTCACTGGAAAGTACTAGAAAAGGAACATTTTTCTCTTCATGAGTAGGTTTCCCTCCAGTGACAGCGAGTTGAGACCCCACACAGTGAGATGTAGTGTGAAGAAATGGGACATAGCACCTGGCAGGGGACAGTGTTGTGCACTCAGGGCAAGAGAGCTGTTCACTCCCCCACAGCTTTGTAGTGCAGAGCACACCTCAGGCCAGGGATCTTCTCCTCCTGCCAGCCCTTCCCAGTGGGTCCCTTAGTCCTTTCCTAAGGTGCCAGGCACTTATTTCCACAGGAAAGCAATGTATGAAATGTTCAAACATTGAGAGGTGACATGAAAACCTCAGCTTCATGTTCTTAGAGTCCCACAGCACAGACAGGTAGCACAGTGATCTTTACTTAAATTCCTATTAGCCTCCAAGCTTCCCTTTTCCCTACACCCTCACAATCAGTTGCTGTCATTATTTAGCAACCCTGATTTCATAGCATTGCTGTCCCCAGGTGTTTGGTTTAATTTACATTCAATTCCAGTGCACGCCAAAAGGGAAGTGTTTGCTTTCTTCATCAGCTGAGTAAGGGTATCAGGAGGGCCTCAAGCTGGGCTGGGCATGAGGGCCAGGGCTGCTGCCTGGGAAAGAGTGGCTCACTGATACTGCAGCAAAACTGGCTCCACAGGTCTGCTCTGAACAGCTTGCTCTGACCACTCATGTACACTGAACTTGGCAAATGCACTTCCAATTAACTCACAAAGCAAATAGCAAAACAGACTTGATACATCTAATTTTAAAAAATTTAATCTGACCAGGCAGTCACTGTGACTGTGTGAGACACTCACAAATCCATCCTGAAATGATGAAAACTCCAAAACCAGGGAGAGAAAGAGCACTTATTCATCCTGCTGGTGACATCCCAACATCTCCCAGGACCATCACTAGCAGCAGGCCTATCATCATGAACACTGGCAACTTTCCCCTGGGATGACACTGGGAGCTCCTGGGTATCCCACCCTGCTTGTGTGTCCATGCACTGCTTTAACGCATATTACCTTTGCATTTCTTCTCATCCTGGTCTGAATGAGCATGTCCAGCAATCCCACAAGGTGGAATTCACAGAAACAGCTGATACCAATCTACCTTACAGACTTAGTGTTTTGCATCTCTCCCTGGACACCCAAGAATGTGGACACACAGGCTCCAATAGCTGCATAACATATTCTTGCACATGAATTATCATGTTTTCTTCTCTAAGAGGATTTTTACATATTGCCAACTTTCAGGAGTAAACAAAAATGTGTTCTTGCCCAGTACCTCAGAGCTTAAGAAGCACCAGTTATTATATTTCAATTAATAACAATTACCCAGCAAGCCCAACAGGCACAAAATACTTCCAGCAACTCACATATACAAATTCCCTTCTTCTAGATGGTAGATCCATAATATTTTGAGTTGAGAAATAAATCTACACGTTTCCAAGCAATATACCCTGGAGTGCTTAAAAAAATATTTCACACTGAGCATACATTGTCCAGTCCTAAGATGAAGGCCAATTTTAAGAAGTTTGTACGTGAGCAAAATTTTATATTAAGAGTTACATCCTCTTGCACCATACTTTTTTGATGGCCCTGGGAGTGCAAAAAGAGAAAAGGGACATTTTTGTAAAGCAGTAGGCCAGAAAAACAGATAAAAGTTTCCAGATGATAAGCAGGCACAGTATGTGGCTGACACCATCTAGAGATAACATGGTGCACCAGTGTTGAATCTGACAGTGACAAAATCTGTCAGGAAGGATGCCCTGCACTAAATCCAACATGAAAAATATATTCAATCCAGATTATACCAGGTCATCACATAGCCAGCACATTTTTCAGACAAGCACTCCCTGTAGCAAAATGTATCTATTTTCTCACATTCAGCAAAACTAAGAATTCTCTTGAAAAGAAGGCAAGGCCACGACAGCAAGGGATTGACCCTAGAGGGCACCCAGAGCCAGCTAATCCCCGGCTGTGTCCAACCTTCTTGTGCCCCTTGCTTAGGCTGGTATAAATTACCTCGGGAACATTGATGAGCAAATTTCTGTTACTCCAAGGTCTCTGATATCCTTTCCTATTTAAAGGATGGGGAGAGATGTGGGGGTGTGGGATGGGAAAAGTCTGTGTCAAGCAAAGCAGCATCTTGCTGGAAGTACTCTTGGTATATTTAGTTTTCATCTTTAATCAGAGAAGACAAGGTAGCACTTGAACTAAAATCTCATTAAAGCCCAGGTGCAGACAAAGCAACAGTCACTGAACTTTCAGGTAAATCGGTTACTGGTCACATTTAGCCTTTTCCTCTGAAACACTTTTGTTACACAGGTAAGACCATCTTCATTAGCCAACACGAAAAGTCCTGCTCATTTCCCCCTAGAATATAGCTGGCTTTGTGTGCAAAGGGGACACAGCAGGGTCCTCAGCAACTTTACACCTTCCTCCATCTCAGCTAGAGGACTCTATGTCTGGGATCAACACACTTGAGTCCTTCTTGGCACAGCATCACAAGGTGATATAGCTTTTCCTTATAGCAGGAAAAAAAAAGAAACAAGCACCTTGCTATTTCACATTAGCTGGTAAGAAGCATCCTTGCAGCAATTTTATATGAAATCTGTAAGATTTTTCAATTACACTTGGATAGCATCACCTTCAACTTACTCTTCATTTGAATTTACATCACAGCTATAATCTGGCAGCAATTGCCTCTCATAGAGAAAGCAATGATTGGACAATTAAATGTGAAAGCTCCGTGAATCAGTGGGTGAGCCACATGAACACAGGTTGGTTTTTTTCGCCATTATGGTCCTACTGCCTTGTGGTTCCTCTGGAGTAAGATCAGTTCCAGCAGAGTTTGCTCCTCAGACTTTCCTCCTACACACGCACACACCATGGCTTAAAGGTGCCTGGCTCAGCAGAAGGGCACTATAAAGAGAAAAAAATATTTAAATAAGCAACAAATGAGGGTCCTGTCCAGCGTTCAGCATGTCCCACCATGCTGCCTTTCAGGTGGGGGACTTTGTACATATGAAGATAGGAGCTCCTGGCCCAGTTTTTCCAAACACAGAGATGTCTGTCTCATGGCACTGTTAGAAACCTGATGGTTGACTACTACAGAGCCCTGTGACAACACTATGACAGCAGCCCAAGAGAAGCAGTGACAGGGATAACTCCTGCACTCCTTCAGATCATGTCCACAGCTCCAGGGAGACTCCTGTGGCTGCAACATTCAGAAGGGAGTATTTGAAGGAAAACTTTTCTCCCTCTCCCCTGTTGAGGGACACCACTAAACCACACCATGGCCCTCATCATATGGGATGATTCTGAGAGATGATAGGAGCATCAGGACAAGGAGTCAGTGTCTTTGTTCCACACCCAAAACTTGGAGAATGGAATGGACTGAACTTCACAGAAGCTGTACAGCAGCCTTTCCTGCAGTGGGAGCCCTAGCAGTGCTGGGCTGTGGATTTGGCTCTCAGCTGATGGATGGCATGTCAAATGAAGGATAACACCCAAAACAAAACCCATCTATTGGAGCAGGGACACAGCCTCCCTATCCTGTCCTAATCCCAGCCCCAGGCCCCCATGACTTCCAGGCCCACTCCCCATGGGTAGGCTGGCCAGGGAGCGGACTGTGAGACCAAGGGCTGTTACCATTTTGGTGAAGATGTCCACACAAGCATTGCGGATCCTCTCTGGGGTGGCAGGGCTGTCCAGCCTGAACGCCTCTGTCAGGCCAGAGTCCTTCCTTGCTGAGTAGATGGCATCTTTAATGGCATAAAACACTGAGGCAGACAGGAACAGAGGTGGCTCTCCCACAGCCTAGACCGAGCACAAGCAAGAGTGAGGCTTTGCCTTCCAGATGGGAACCTCATTCAACCAGATGTGTTTTCAGTGAGGAAACATGATGCTAAAACAGCCTCCAGTGTGCCAGGTGTGATCAGAGGAAAGACTGAGCTAAATCAACCCTCAGTCCATTTAAAGAAGAAACAGGAAGAAAACACAAGCTTTGTCACACAGCAAAGCTACTTCAGTTCTGTCTCATGGACAACCGGGGCAGCAATGTGCAGGTTACTTCAGTTCTTCCTAACATATTTCTGATAAGAAACAGAAAATCATCCTGACCTCAGAGCAACCACAGCGTGATGAGGTGAACTGTTTAGACACACAGGATCATGATTTTATCCCACTCAGCTTCACAGTGTTATGAGGCAGCAAGAGGCCTACAGACCCCACAGGCATACCTTGGATGAGTAAACTGCCTTGCTATTGGGGCAGTCACGGAGAAGGGACACGTTGAATTCTGCTGGGATGTCTCCAAATGCTGGGATTTTGTACATGCCAGGCCCTCGAGTGTACAAGTTCCCATCAGGAGAGTAGCGCAGCTCCTCCATGGTGAAGAGCCCAATGCCCTGGACAAAGGCTCCTTCTATCTACAAACACATCCAAACAAGGTTACAGTCTCTCTGTTGTTGTTGTTCTTCCCTGCACAAGGACAAACAGTGACGACATCCACCAGGGTTTTCAACCCTCTCCACCTGACTCGGATCCTGCTTGTTATCTCTAAACCCTTGTCCTTTCTGCTGGGTACAATCTTTGCACAATTTCTGTGTTCCCACATAAATGTGGCTGCATTTCCCTGGCAGCTGAAGCAATTTACAAATACATGCAAACAGATTTTCTGTAAACACAGAAAAGGAATTTTCTGATGAAGCAACAGAAACAAAAAATCAATGATAAAATATTGATTTCTTCAATGTTTTGCAGGTGAACATTGAATTAGTTGAACTTGCTGATATATCAAAGGACTAGTAGACTAAAAGGACTGAAGATGAAACATCTGAAGACAAACTATTTTATACTTTCTATTTCAGTATAAATGCTTTCCTAAGTGCTGTGTATTACCAGGTCAGCAGCACAGGCACCTGCAAAACCACTCCCATATCCATTTAAGTACTAAAAAACTTTACATATTTTTTCTACTGCAAATTTTAGGAGAAAAAAGATTATGAGAGGAGGATGTGCTTGAACAACCCTGCACAAAGCATCTCTGCTCTTTGTGCCCACTGAGGTATCTGACAGCCAGAGCAGTCACAAGCATTCATTGACCCATCTCTGTGTACTTGTATTCCTGCACTCATGCCACATCCTTTCTCTACTGTGCCCCCACATCCTCTGCAGCAATTCACGGGAGGACACAGGAACTGAAGACCCCTTTGACAGGCTCCATTTAGCCCATCTCTCAACTCTCAAACCTAAAAAGTGACACACCACAAAGACAGAAAATCCTTTTCTCCCCTTGGACACTTCAAAAAAAAAAATCTCTTTCAGAAAAAACATCACTTTCAAGGAAATTTCATTTTAGCTACAGCAGAGCTTTGCAACTCATGCTCTCCTGTCATCCCAAATCCTGCAGCAGTTTCACTGGAGGTACACCATGTTGACATCTAGAGTTAGCCAGCGAGCTAAGATGGCTAGATAAGCATACGGCTAACAATTCATCTCTTGGTCTGTCAAAAAACCCTGGTTTATTACCCTTATCTGCTAAGAGATATTGTTATTATTACTGCACAAAAGTTTGAAGTAATCTTGTGCCTGCCAAGACTTTGCAAGATAAGTGACTGGTCCAGCTTCCTATTGAGAATTCTACACAGCAGCAGCTGGAAGACAGAATCCACCTCCCTAACTCTTTAATCAGGAGAATTTTCACTAAATTAAATAAACCTAATATTGGCAGATAGGAATATAAATATCAGGCGTGGGATTTAGCCTGAAAAACCTCAATGGGGTGGTAACTGAACAACATCCTGCAGTCTTATTATCCAAGTCAAAAATCTCCAAACCCTAACAGAGTATTTCCCCGTGTAATTCTGTGCCAAATTAAAAAGCATGTGTTTACCAAGGCACAACCTGGAGAGGGATAATAAATTGAAAAGCCTGAGAGCAATGTGATTGCCTCAACATGATGGAAGTAGCAACACTTTTCACTTACCTGCCCTATATCTATTGCTGGGTTCAGACTGGTACCCACATCCATAACAATGTCGGTGCGAATGTTCTAAAAAACAGGAATAAAGGATAAATCAGCACAGATCTCTGGAACTGGTCCATGATTGGAAGAGTGAGGAAGAGTATCCAAACACTATCCCACATAATCTTATCTCAGCTGAATTTCTCATACTGACTTTTAATCTGAGTTCACTCCAAACGTAATTCAAAGGAACTCACTGCATTTTTCCCCAGAGGTCCAGTGGACCCAGTTAATATTAATTCTAAGTTGCTGGTATCAGTGGTCTGTAGCTCAGCATAACCAACTAGGTCAGATGCTGATTTAATTTTTTTCTTCTTTTTTTTTTCCTTCTTTCTTTCTTTTCAGAAGTCTTCAGTATTATTTTTAATGATTAACTCAATCCCAGGATGTTTCTGTACTTTTGTGCCAACACAGTGCTGCTATCTCTTACTCAAGCAAATCCAATAACTTCTGCAATCATTCATTAAGCTCCAAATCCCTGCAGGGTAGATAATTGTTGTTTTATTACAGTTTACGGATCGCTGCACTGTGGAACAGAGGGGTTAAGAAATTTGCTGAAGGTCACACCAGACCAATGACAGAGCCAGGAATGGGCTGACACCCAGTATTTGTTCTGTTTCACTGCTGACCCCTCACCTTGTGGTCACCTGTCAGGCAATCTATCTCAACCTCAGAGCAGGCAACTCCATAACTGAAGTAGGAGAATGGTTTCCCTTCGTTCTTTTCAAAGTTGTAGCCAAGTTCAGGAATTCTTGATACAAAGAGAAACAAAACCACATTTAATTCCATGAAAAGAAAAACAAAAAAAAAACAAAGAAAGAATACAACTACATTGCTACTTATCAAAACTCTTACTCACTTTTGTTTCATTCCTTCTGTCAAGCCCATGCAGAAATTAAAAGTGTAAGCAACTATAAAGAGAAATCTGCTAAATCTATTCTGTATTTCAAAACCTGATTGAAACTATCAAGATGTTTAAGCCACCATTATTGACTCATAAATCACAGGGCTTGTGGTTACTATTATCTACCAATTCAGTGGAAAATCCTTTGGCTTTAGAGTGCAGCTGAAAGTTTCTTTAAGGCCATTAAACTTCAGAACATAGTTAAGCTGAAGCAGAAACTCTATTAAGCTTAGAACTGATTTTAAGCACAGTTCATGGCAAATTTTGTGTCTGACTACATATACTTTATCTGAAAGCTGGTTTATTAAAATGCTGACAAGTCACTTGGTTAGAAAAAATACATTTCAGGGATGCAAAACAAACTAACACATAGTGTATTTTAGCCCTAAGTAGGTTTTTCTAAACACTATGGCTATTTATTAATGTCAGCCCCTCTGCCTTAAAGATGATGGATCTCTGCTGTCCTTCAGCAGTAAGGCTGACTAAGAGAAGTGCCTCATTTCACAACTACACAGGGTCCAGCAAGAGTCTGACGTGGGAGAACAACACTGGAAACACTGGTATCTGCTCATGCTGCAAGAGACAGGCTTTTCCTCAAGGACAATCCTTGTCCCCTCTTATCCTCCGTCGTGCTTCTAGTGCAAAACTAGGCCACAAGGCTGACACAGAGCAGAGCCCCAGGCAAAGCTCTGATTTCATTTATGCCTCTTCAGGCCAAGGTCAGCTGGAATGGAGTCAGATCTACTCTAGACTTACTTGCCCTCAGAGCTGTGCTCCATCAGGAATTGATTCTCCCCACCCAGGAGACTGTTAACCTCAGCTTACCACTTGTAGGTAAGAAAGGGAATGCAACTTTAATGTAGAACAGTTACAGGGGGCTGGAGGCTGTAAATCTTCCCAGAATTTCCCTGGATGCAATCCATGCACTTGAGTCAGTGCTTCTGCAGTGTGAATTTTCACTCACCTATAAAACCCTGTGGCTGACAGGCTGACACAGCTCTCATAGGCGGTTTTGATCTGGCAACGTGAACAAGAGTTTGAAAACAGTAAAACATACAATCAGGCACTTCAAAATAACTGCACAAAACATTTCCAGGAGGCCTCAAGTAGAAAATGTCCAGTGACAGACAGCTGTCACACTACCCAACTCCAGCACGCCAAACATGATGATTGCAGTTGCTTCCCAAAACAGCCCCTGTCAGCAGCTACCAAGGGCAGAACTTGAATCACTGGCACAGGATGAGAGCTGCTTTTGTTTGTTTGTCTTTCAGCTACAAGGTTAGATTTTAGCCTCAGGGACAAAGGTTAAATTGACAGGTCATCTTGACTTTAGTGATGGAAATTTTATCCTTACTTTTAAATCCCAAAGTCAAAACTCCTCAGATGAAGAGCAGAGCTTGGATCTGAACAGAGCCTTACAGCCCCTCCATCTCTTCTCATTGAGGGGACAGAGATATTGCAGACAAGGAGCGTGACGGGCTGAACAGCAGCTCAATAAGAGCTGTCTATGTTACAGAATCCCTTCATTAAAAATCAGGTTTCTTTCTGTCCAAGACTGTAGCCTGACTACAGTCATAGTAGTATGTATATACATGTAACCACTCAAGACTTTTCTCTGATGAAGTTTGTTGTAGGCAGGCTCCAAAATTTGGAGAAATCTCAGGATTAAAATAACAACTGATGTCTTGGGGATGACCTCTTGTAAGTTTTAATTACTTGGAAATCTGTGCCAGGTTTGTGTTTCACTGTCACTGCTCAAATCTATGCCAGCAAGGTGCAGAAGGCCTGGAGGACACATCTGCACATGTGGTTTGCCAATTAAACCAATCTCTGACAACGTCTCATGACAGATATAAACAGCTTACCCAGTCTTCCCAGGATCCTTTGGGATTAGACTGTTTGATTGGCTCGAGTCTTTTTAGGATAGTTTGACACGCGTTCTAGAAAGAGTGAGAATGAGAATAAATACTTTAAGATTTGAATAGCCATCTTATGGTATTAAGAGCCCTCTAAGAATTTCAAAGAACCTTCTATTTAAATCAATATGGCCTTTTAGGACTTTGGCAAATTATAAAAAGGAACAAAGCTCGCTAATGCATGTTTTGCTACATAGAAAGAAATGTTGCCTGAAAAGGATTTTAAAGGAGATTGGCTGTGCTGATAGCAGAAAGGAATCCCAAATTCAGCACAGAACTTTCTGAACCATGACACAAAATATAAGAAGTCTGCTCATTTATACATTATCTGTACCCCATCTGTACAGGACCGCTCAACATAGCTTATAAGATGATCCTTTAACACTGAAAGAACAAAAAATTTCTTCCCAAAATTCAACCTACTCAGATAATCTGTGCAGAGAATAAAAATATCCTGATTATTTTACTTTGCAGGTTTCACTTCCCCTTGTCTCTTAAACTGAGAATGACCAGTACTAAATTCTTTAAAATGGAAAAATCACATACCCAGCAAATACATGCATTGGTAACTCCACCATGGCAGACAGCCATGACCATGCCATTGCTACAGCAGAACATTTGCTCTGGGCTGATCAACAGTTAGAGCTTGTGGAGTACAGCTCTCAAACCAATTGCTATTAATACATGCAGCAAAATATATTTGTTGCAGATAAGGCTGTATTAATTACTTTGAAGCTGGCTATTTAAATGGATGCTTTGTTCTGCTCATTTTGAGTAATCCCAAATACTCTAATTTTAGAGCTGCCAAAGGACTGAAGGAAAGTTTTGAATAACTTGAAAAATATAGGAATTCACAATCTAATGCTACTGCTAGCTATGCCAGGTAACGTTATGAGACATCCTTACACTGGAACTACCTTTTGATGGTTGTTTTCCTTAAACAACAACAGATAACTTTTCATGCCCTGGAGCCCTCCCTTGTAACCCACTCCTTTAAATAACTCAGCTTCCATACATAGACGGCCATTCCATTGATGTCTGCGCTGACTGAAGCAGCTGTTGGGGAGGTATTTGGGACAGTGTTTGTGCTGGTCTCACTGATGTAAATTTTGGATGTGGGGACTCCCAGGGCCCTGCTAGCAACCTGTGAAGCAAAGGTAAACAATTGGTAAGCACCACTTATCCATGAGCATTGCCAGTCATTGCTCACACTGCTAGGACCCACACTGCAACCTCTACCCTCACCCACCAAAAACTTCATTTTTCCTGCAGACTGAATTGTTCCAGTGACTGAGAACTAGCCAGAACATTGTTATATTTGAATTTCATAGACTGAATGTGTGTGAGCACATACACTTTTGCCACAATGACAGACATTCACTTCCCTATTATGAGACTAAATTCTTCTCTCAACAGTTAAAACAATCAGAAGTTCAAAAGCCCTACGAGATTTTCCTTTCATTTTCCTGCCAAAGGAATGTTACTCCCTTGAGCCTTTTTAACTACAAAAGCATTAGCATATGCAGAAATATATGTTTTCAATACAACTAATTTTTATATAAAATGGATGGAAACTGTACCTTTATGGGGTGAACTGAAATTGCCAGAATAGTTAAACTGTAAGCATAACATGCATAATGATATTTATTATGCATGTTATCATTAATAACATAATGATATTTAAGCTGAAGAATCTAGTTCTAATATTCAGTTGTGATAATAGCCTGGAAATGTAGCACTGCTGCTCAAACAATGAAGAGGAATCAGTCCAATTTGTTACTCTCTGCATGCACACAGAGGAAGTGTCAAGGTGCCTGAGGCAATACTGTAGGGAGAGTGTAAGATGTCTTAGTCAGTTAAGTCCAAACTCAATATTACCTGGATCATTTTGGTGTGAAGTCCTTGACCCATCTCAGTCCCCCCATGTGTAAGTAACACAGAGCCATCTGTATATACATGGACCAGAGCTCCAGCCTACAACAGGGAACATTTATCATCATAAATTAACTAGTAGAGTATTTAGCAGGCTACTGAGAGAATTCATTTAGAACTAGACTGAGGTTGTTCTTTGGTGCAACTGAAGCCACTTGTTTACACTTGAGGTGAGTTTGGGTTTAGTCTCACCAACTCACTAGAAGTTCCAATGACATAACAAACCCCAATCAGTATTTTCAGCTCAGAACGCATGTGAAGTAATTCAATCCTGCCCCAATGAAACACAGATGCACCCTTCACCTCAAATTTCAAACACCATTGACAGTCCATCAAATCAGCTCAAACACAGGAGCAGTGTTTCTACTATTGAGAAAGGCAGGAAAATCAACCTTACACAATACCGTGGAAATGCAGCTGTATTGCAGTGTCTTTTGGACAGTATAAACTGGAAATTGTTAAGGTGCTCATTTTGGCTCGAAAATGTGTGCTCTTTCTTAACTAATTGACTACTTCTTCAAGAAGTTCCAGCTTGGTACAAATGGAGGAGAGCCTGGGAAAGGCAGCATAAATCCAGCTTCTCTAGTGAAAGGGCAAATGACATTTACAGACCTGGTTCAGAAATGGGACAGTGAAACTGATGCCAAATTTGGTAGGAATGATGCTTATCCCTCTCTTTTTCCAGCGGTTCTGCCTGCAAGGAAAGAACATTATTCATATACCCATAAGCATTTTATCATAAATCAATACTGTGCTTCCCTCTGACTGTGCATCAAATGGAAATTAAATGCCTGTGATACAGACTGAGTTTATCACTAATTTGTATTAAAGAAAGGCTTTATTTGTGAGCACCAAAAAGAACTGCAACTGAAGATGCTTTCTGCAAGCATTATAGAAGCAGTTGTCCATACTATTAGCTGTTCAGTCATATATATAAAGCCAACCAAAAAAGTCTATCAGGCAGAGGGAAGCATAAACAGATTGTCTTGACAGTCATGTGAAAATCCCAGCTGGACTTAACAGACTCCCTCTTCTTTGCTCAGCTCACTTACAAAATCACATCATGCTAGGTCTAATTCTGGCCTTATTTATGCTACCAGCTCTCTGATAGACTTTTCCTCTGACAGTGAGCATGAAGGGATTACAAAAGGAGAAATATTTAGAAGACAGTCTGCAAAGATAAGGTGCGACTTCACATCACTCAAGTTGCTAAGAGAATTACAGAAGTTAGTAGGCAACAGGTGCACCCAGTGACAAGACAGCTCCAGGGCACCTACTTGTTGAATTCTTCAATCAGTTTCTTCCTGCTGTGATAGCTGGAGCTGGACAAACATTCATCCCAGCATCTTTGTAGAGTAAATCCCTCCAGCTTTTGGTTAAAATGAGTTGTGTCTCCTTCATGGTAGAGATTGAGCTTCCTCACCTTCCCAAAGAGACACAGAAAGGACAGGCCAAGTTTAATGCTTTGGACAAGGAGGGATGAGATCTAAAGTGTGTTGGTTCCTGATTTTACTCCTTTGCTCTTTCTACAAAGAGTCAAGGAGCAAAACAATTAACAAACATACATCTGTTTATGGAACAGTACGAAGTAAGATATTACGGCCGGAAATTTTCAGATATTGGGACTTAAAACACATTGTCAGTAAGATTAAGGTACCTGGTGCCTTTGGACTTTCTTTTTTTTAAATATCCATCCTTAAAGCAGATGTTACAAAATTGAGGCTACCAAGGCATTTAATTAAACAGAAGATAATCCATGCTAGAAGGTATCTGTCACGCAAGTTTGAGATCCTGCTGGGAGCTCAGCAAAATTGAAGCGAAAGTTCTTATGCTTAAAAATCTTGCATGGCTGGCACAGTTCTCAGAGCTTGTTCCAAGGCAGTGTCACCCTGGAAGATGTCAGCAGGTCTGTACCTCCTCAGGCGGCAGGCCACACTTCTGAGCAAGGTCACTCATCCAGCACTCGGCAACCATCATTCCCTGGGGCCCTCCAAAGCCACGGAAGGCTGTGTTGGAAGGCAAGTTCGTCTTGCAAACAATGCCCATGCTGCTGACATTGGGGATGTTGTATGAGTTGTCCAAGTGTAACAGGGCTCTGTCCATTACCTGGTGAAGAAAAGGACACACTTTACATTAACTGGATGTCAGACTTCTCACCAATGCCAAAACCAGACTGGAAGCTAATTTACAACAATCAGCACTTTCTCTAGCACTCTGCAGTGCTGCAGTCAACACAGATGATGAGCACTGAAGTGCAGCCAGAACTGCCTCTCAGGTGCAATGAAATGTCAAGTGGTGTCCTCCTGAATAGGACAATAAGCACACTTCTCTGTTGACTCTTATGGCTCTGGGACAGATTGAGCTTCAAAGTCCTTTTTTGGCCCTGGGCTCATGCTGAATCAAACTGTATGTAAATGCCATTATCTATCAAAAGAAACACAGTTTTCTTTTTACTATATTGAGTAATCTGTTACTGGAAAAGTGACTCTGCATGGGTGACAGCAGGAAGGGCACACATAAGAAATAAACATTTTCAGTAACTACTGAACTGCAAGATTTGAGATTTGCCCACTTATTGTCCACATTGGGAAGGGGCCAGAACTTCTTTCTGGCTTGTGTTTCCAGACTTCTCTTCCAGCAGCAGCACAGAAAGGACATTACACACAACCAAACCTTATTTCCACATGCAGCACTTCCCAGTCCTCTGATTCAGACACAAGTCAAAAAGACAATTACACAGATGCGCTCTCCTCTCAACCAGGTGGACTGAGAAAAAGTGAGCTAGAATAAGCCTGAGTGACACTAGGCTATTGAGTTGGTCACTCACATGACAGAAAAGGAGAGTTTTTTACTCACGAGTGGAAAACTTCTTGGAGACAAACTCAGAACTTTGGCCCATTTTTTGTCCTTACTGCTTGTGAACACAGTGCTGGCTTTAGCCTGTCCTTTACAAGCTTATTGATTTAGGCACCCTGCCCTGATCAACCTATTGACTGGGATGCTTCTTTTCCCAAGGAACTATCTTTCCCCAGAGCTGGGGATCTATCAGTCATCTTGCATTGTGCAACAACTTTTCCATCACAGCCCTCTGTAATGCAAAGCAAACATTCCTGACCCCTTTGCTCAATCTAAGTTATTACAGCATCCATAAGAATTATGTGGTACATGCCAAGGCAGGTCAGTTGGCTCACAGAGCATTTGTAGAAGCTCCAAAAGCCCTTCAAAATCTGTTTTTCGTTATGTCAAAGTTTAGTTATGGCATGTGCCAGCAATGCTGTAGGCAACAGCTCTCTGAAGGCAGAGCAGAAGGTTGCACAGAAACACACCTTCTGCTTAATCAGCCATCAAAAAATTTTACTTACACCATGAGAGAGGTCTACAGAGTTGCCCCCATTGCTGTAGTATGACACTTCCAGACTCTTGACTTTCCCATTCTTCATGAAGCCAACCTGTCAAGAGAGTGCCTCCTCAGTAATCAGTTTTCTACAAAATGTTCTGGTTTGTGCTTGCCTCCGAATACTGAATGGATCTCACACAGGCAGAGGGTTGATTGTCCCCAGTGCAGCATAGGGCAGGCACAGCCAGCAGTTGAGGGAGCTCCCCAGTAAAGGGTTCATGCATGTGTCAATCTTGTTCCAAAGAACTCTTCTAAATTAAGTGCTGGCCACTTACCACAGCCACAATTTCCTTAACAGGTTTTTGCTTTCAAAGGCAGCGGCAGTTGGAGGGGGATTGAAACAGAAAGCAAGTTAACCAAGCACATTGCTTCATTAATGATGCTTTACAGGAATGGGCGAGCCTCTAAAAGAAATGTGATTGTCAGCAGGGTCAAAGTCCTGGTTGCAAGAAAGGCAGAGTTATTTACACTGAGGTCACAGGAAGGGAACCATCCAAGCCAAAATAACTTCTGCAGCACTTTAACAGGAAAAATGCTACAGCCCATCTGACCTGGCCCATTTGTAGCGGTGGAGATCAGCAATAAAACGACCATAGCAGTGTTTTTTCACATCTTACTGCTCTCTGATGTCTCAGGGGACAGCACTGAGACCACATGGACTCTCCTCAGGTGTGTGCATACCTTGTACCTCCCCAGGAAGGGGTGCCTCCCACCACTTATCAGCATGTCCTCATCTCGATCCAGCATGCACCGCACTGCACGGCCCGTTCTGTGAAAGAACACAGGTTTTTAGGGAAAGCCTGAAATGCACAATACAGTTCCTGCAGAACAAGGTTCTTTGTCTTTCTAGGGTGGCAATGGACAGTTAAGGGTAAACTGCTTGGTTCATATATCTTACCCTTAAGAAATCAGCAAGAATGAGTAAAAAAAAATAAACATCTCCAAAGGTGGAACCAGTTTGTGAAAACTCTTGCAAAGGCTCTTATATTAAAAAAAGGATAATTTCTTTTAGAGATAGAGATAGATGCTAATAACTGAGCAATCACTGTTTTCCAGACTATTTCTCAAGGTACTCTTTTGGCTTTGAAAAAGACAATGCCATAGGAACTATATAATAATGCAAAGTACTAACTAGCCTTCAATTTGACCTTGTTTTTTATTTGCTTATTTATTATCAAGGAGTAAAACAGGGGGGAGAGTAGGAGTCGTTCTTAATTTTCTAACAATTTTGCCTTCCAAGTGCCTGTCTTCAGGTTGTACCAGTACCTAGCGAATGTCATGTTATTTTTGTAGCCTGTAGGATGTCAAACAGTGGTTTGGCTGGCAGAGATAAAGAGAAGAAAAGAATGCAAATGTATTCCCGATTAATTAGAGAAAGCAGATTGTTTGCTCAGAACAGAAAAAAATAAAGTCAATTTAAAAACAGAGTTTCATTTTGCCTGTCCTCGTCCAATGATATTGTATCAAACTGCTGCTGTGTTGCAAGATCCCTCCAGCTCTGCCAGCAAGGGCAGGGTACAGGCAGGGCAGAAATGTCACCTCTGGGGCCATGTCCACCCAAAATCTGCACAGTTAAACATGAGCTCACAACAAAACTCCAGAAACCAGGAGCACATTTCCAATCTACTCTTTACAAATGGTTGCAGCCTAGGTTAATTCCCTGAGCTTTTAGGCGTTTTAAAAGAGTGGGTTCAAAGACCTGCCACCATTCCTAGGGAAAAATCCCGAAAAGGAGTTTGCAGAAGAGGAGACATGTAATGATGCAAGACTGGTGTAGTAGAGTTTTGAACAAAGAGATTCTCATACCTCCATTAAAAAAAAAAAAAAAACAAAAAAAAACAAAAAAAAAAACCACCAAAAAACCACCCACACATAGCTGGTGCTGGATTTTGAAATTATTTGGGGTGAAGTGAGGGGGAAAGGCAAATAATTTGAGACCTAAGAGTTTTCAGAGAGCACCAAAGGAGTAAAGAATAAGGAGGTTTTTCCCTCTTTCCTATTAAAAGCTGATATTCCCACATAAACTTAGCCCCTCTGGGCGGGTTCAATCCCTCCTACCTCCTAGCCAAGAACCCATCAGACACCTCCTTTGGGAAATCCCAAGTTTGCTGTAAGTTGTACAGTAAGAAGACATTCAGAGTATTGAAAGTGCTCCTGCCCAAATGGTGCTTCAGAAAGAGGCAGCCTGGGATAGTCTGAAGGAAAAAAATCCCTCTTCCTCCACACCCAAACTTACTTGAAGGCTGCAACAGCCACTACAGATGTTAAAATAGTACTCCTAGTCTCTTTTCCTCCAAATCCTCCTCCCATTCTTTTCACTCGAACCACAATCCGATTTGAAGGCACTCCAAGTGCATTAGCAGCAAACTCCTAAAGAAAAACCAAACAGCAGGACATGTATGGAGCTCAGCTGGTGTTAAGAACTAAATGCCAACACTGCCTTCCTGAAACCATTTCAACAGTGCAAATATTGCATTTGCAATTGGAGCCAATAAGTCCAGCATTTGATCTCTGAGGGGAAAGGCACAGTGCTGCTGCACACAGGGCCAGATTCAGGAAAAGACTGACACAAGATGATGTTACCAAGACACAGGTCTCATTTAGCAAAGGGTTTGACATCAATACCACCCTCACTGCATTGAGAGACCTTTGGACAGTCTTGGTGAGCCAGTAAATAGGCCAAGGACACTCCATGGTGCCAGTAGCGAATCTCGTGGAATGGAAGAGTTGGTGCACAGACAGTGGTTTCACCACCTCTCTTTCTGATGTGTCATTCAAGCATGTCTCCTGAGCAGCTGGGACCCTCTCCAGAAAGGGCCAAGCATGTAATCCCTCTTAACAAAGATGTGTTGGCAACAGAAATATCTGTCACCTGGAAGGAGATTCTCGACTCCAGTGGGATGGATAGGGACTTTAGATCCCATACCCAACTCTAAGCCTGTGTGGTTTTTAACTGAAGAATAAAATAAGAGCAACTATAAACCAACCATTCATCTAGTCTGAAACTGAGAAACAAAAGCCTTTTAGGCACTAGGTTAGTGAGAAGTACCTGTGTCTTCATTGGGTTTTGGGTTGACACAAAGAGTTCCATCTCACCATCTTCTCTCTTTGGCACAGCCAAAGTACAGTGAGTTTCCAGGTAGAAATGCTCCTGGCCACCAAGGTACATCTCTCCTAGAAAATTGAAATGAATGCCCCATAGAAAGGAGCGTCCCTGGTGTTACAAGGTGTCACCCAACACGTTGTCTTCAACCTACTGCCTTCTGTACATGTGTTAAGTGACAACCCTTTGCTTTGCCCAGCACTGGATATCACTAGCTCTGAAATTGACACTTCTGGTTCAATGTTTAAAAAAACAACAAAGAATAAACTCAACAACAAAACAAAATAAAAATTCCAGACATGCTTCCTTTCCACTTTCTATAAATCTTAATTATAAAACACAAGGGGCTGGTGTTTCAAAAATAAGTCTGCGCACCATGCCATTGACCCAGCATCTCTGAAGATGCAGTATTTGGTGCCTTTCAAGACTGCCTCAAAAACACCACTGAATAAAGAATAAAAATAAATCAAGTATAGTCTAGCTGAGTAGATAAAATACAAGGTTACAGACTTTGAAACAGGAGAAGAAAAATAGACACCCAAAATGCCTCAAGATTATCTAACTGGGAATCAACTCTCTATCACTGTATGAGGCTCTTTCCAGGGCATCTTACCTGGCAGTGCTGAGGGTACAATTTCCAGTCATGCTACGCACAATTAAATGTCAGAATTAATCTCCTTTATGAGTCATGGCCCTGGTCTGTTCATTGTGGCCCATCTGCCTAAGACACAGCCATACACCAGATTAAAGGCAATTTGCTGTCTATAAGATGTACCAGACTATGTCTGGACAGGGAAAAAATTTCAGGAAAAAAAAAAAAAAACACTTTCTAGAATAATTGCTCAAGAAAAATATGTCCTTTCATTGAAAAAAGAGTGTTTACTGGGAGGCACAGGTGACAACATCCAGGCCCCTTTGAAACAATAAAATTTGTATATCAGTCTGTAACTTTATAGGAAATTAATTTAGTCCTGCAAGCCTTACTCTCAGTATCATATGCAAAAAAAGGAGGCTGACAGCTTGACTTCTTTTGTCACAAACCATACTATTTTAAAGGATTTTTTTAATGCTTATTCTCACCTTCCAAAATGTGGTCAGATTCTTCAAATCCTTTCTTCACATCTCCCTTATTAATCCTCTTTATATCCTTAAAGAAAGATTGTTTCTCAATTGCTTCCTAGGAGACAAAATCAAACAATGACATTTTTGTCTAAGTGGAATGAAATCCAACCTTTCTCTAACTGAAGAAGAAATATCCAAGATAAAAAGCATAAGAACAGACACTTTCTAAGGTAGTAGACAAGAGACTTGACTAAAGGCAATACAAAATAACTTCCGGCAACAAAGCAATTTCACAACTGACACCATAATTGCACAATCTTAAGGTACTCCTTGTGATTTCTTTTACATTGTGGACCTAGAACCTTAAGGCCTTTAACCACCAGAGCTATAACTTACAACTTATATTAACTCTTCTCTGTAGCCCAAAAGGTGGGAGAAAGGGGGGAAAAAAACAAACGAAAAAACCAAATCAACCAACCAAAAAAAAAAAAAACCAACAAACAAACAAACCCCAAAACAAAAACCAAGAAGAAAAAAAAAGAGAGAGAAAGAGAAAATGAGAAAATAAGAAGTGCAGAAGTAGTTAACTTCTGAGCTAATATAAAGGGAAATTAAAAAAAAAAAATAAAGCTAATATATAAGGGAAATTTAACAAAGGCATTTTCCTTTTGCCAAACCTGAAGCTTTCCATAATGAAAACAATCCCCTACCAAATATGAAGCAACAGAGCAAAACAAAAAAAAGCCAGCACATTTTTGGAACTCTCATGTTCCCTGGTTGAATGAACAACTAGAAGCCTCAGAAAAGACAAAGGTCTCACATGTTGTTTGTTAATACACAAATTACACAAACAACCCAAGATCTGTGTCCTCAGATGACAGCACCAATGTCTGCATGAGACAGGGCACAGACTCTACTTGCATGAATACAACTCACATTACAAAACACATGGTACAAAATACTGACTATTAAAACCATTTCATTAAAATCCTATGTTTCTAATTTCTCCACTAAAAATGGCTTCATACATTTTTTTTCTCATTTCTAGAAATGAATGCTGTGTAGATATTATAATTTGCTTTTACTGTCTCATAAGCAGATCTTGTCAACAAATTTTCCTGTTAAAAAAGCATGAAATGATCATACATTGTTAATATTAATTTCTCCAGCTTTGAGAAAAGCCACTTAAGGACTGTGTCCATACAGTTCACAGCAGGGAGTGAACTCCCAAAAATTAATTTCATCAGTTTAGAAGCTAGACAAGTGGTCTGCAGAAATCTCAGGGAAGCAGTGCAGTGACAGAGCTAGAAAAGCCATTTTCACACCTTAGTATTGCTTGTTATAAATGAGAGAATGAAGAGGGAACGGATATCAATGAAGCCAGCAGGGTCACACCCGAGAATATTAAAAGCAAACCTCTGTGGGTAAGAATGTAAGTCACATTAACCTTGTTTATTTAAACAATTTTCAGTTGAGCACGATATTATCTCCCCAAGCTTGGTTTATTTGTTTCAGCTTTAAATAGCACAGAAAACATTAATGTACTCTAAATCAATAGAGCACCCAAGATGTACCTTCTTTATATTTAAATACACAAATTATTCCTTCCATCAGTATCCTGCTGCATCCACAAACACAAACAAAACGTGGGGTTAAGTAACAATATGTGTGAGGACAGAACTAGACAGCAGGGGGTCCCAAGCCAACTGCAGATGCAGAACTGAGCCATCTTACCTGAATTGTGACAATAGGTTGAAGTTCCTCATACTTAATCTTCACAGCTTTAGCTGCTCTCTTGGAATGCTCCTGTGAGTCTGCAACGACTGCACCAATGATATGACCCACGCAGGTGACCTACAGGCAAGATTGGGACCCACCATCATTTGGGGTGTGTGTTTGCAGCCATGAGAGACTCATGATCATTCTTTATTCCTTTTATGCAGTTTGTTCAGACCAGTCTATTAAAAAACAGCCCAGGGAAAATAATCCCAAGCAAATTTGGACAACAACTGAGTGAGTGAGCCTGTCCCAGGGGGCTGCAGCTTAGAGAAGAATTGTGGAGATAAAAGGAGAGGGGCACAGGGAAAAGGGACTTGGGCCTTATTGAATTTGGCACCAAAATTTCTATTGACCCCAGTGCAGTTAGAACTATCTCTGTATAAGGTAGAGGACTTGACTGGACAGTATGAGAAATGTTATATCCTGAGCAGCATGATTGAAAAAGGCTATTTTTAGCTACATACCACATCCTCAGCAAAGACAGTCTCATCATTAGCGATGCCAGTGATGTTACTGCCAGGAACATCCTTGGCCGAGACAAAACACACAAACCCAGGAACACTCTGAGCTTCAGATGTATCTACAGAACTAAGGAAAGAAGAAGAAACCGTGTTATTTCTCATTTTTCCTTTGTGTTAGCAATTATGAGATTCCAATACAAATTCCGACCGGATTTCCTCAAGTTTGGCTATGCCATGTGAATATCATGTGAGACTGTGGCAGCATAACATACGAGACTATAATAATTTGGGATCTATATGAAAATGCTGATCCTGACTGTGAGACTGATCACCATCTTGCTTCTTTGGACTATGCCATACATCTTTTCCCTAAGACATACCTGAACATGATCCAGTTGTCACATGTACTAAAGATTCTTTGATGATGAGTTGGTGTTAGTGATGCTGTGCCTCCACTGTTTTCTTAGCTGCCACGATTCTTGCCATGAAGGCAAGAATTTGGATAAATATGAAATTTTAGTGCAGACATGTATCATCTGCCATGAGTGAGTCAGTGAAAAGAAGCTTCAGCATTTTTAAGGGGATGCAAAAGAAGTGATGCTCAAAAAGACAAAAACCTTAATGAAAGGCTTTCCTTGGTAATCAGCAAAAGAAGCACCTAACCAAAATGCTTTTCTGCTTCAATCATACATCGATTTAAAATTCAGTGACAAAATAACTAAAAAAGGGCAATATAATTTAATTTTTATATGGAGAACTTAGTAAAACTATATTACAAAATACTTTCAGGATCCTTTTGCAATATTCTGTACATTGGCTTTACAGAGAAACAGTTGTGAATAGAAGAGCTGAGGCTTTGATTTTGCTGACTGAATGATTTATTGCCTTCTGTAAATTGCTGCAATTTTTTCAGCAACTTGTTTAGATTCCTAAAACTTTGATATAAACTGACCCTGAAAGCAGCTGCTAATACATCCCAGTGAGCCACAGACTTTAAAAAAAAAAGACATTAAATGTATAAACTTTCCCACATGAATCCCTAGACAGCAGGAACTCAAAATGCTATTTTTCTTTGGAATGTTCTCTTTCCTATGTTTCTGCAGCAGTAGCTCAGAAACAACCCCCTAACACTTTCCCTTAGTTACAAATACAGAGGCAGCTGGTGTCTGATTTACACTTGGTGCTCAAAATCCGGCTTGGATGAAGTGGAAGTTTTCAGAGTCAATATTTTGACTGCCAAAATCATAGGTTGAGATACTTTTGTCCCCTGATTAAATATTCTACTACTTCCTCTACAGAATGTTACAGGCTTGCAGCCTGAAATATGTGTACACAATGAAAATGCAAGAGAACGGGTACAGCAACTTCCAGAAAACACTGCATGTTGGGGTCACAAGCATGGATGTGATGCCTTCTCTATCTCCCCATCTGCCCTGGTGGTAGTAACACCACTTAAGTGTCTGTATTGCACATGGCAACACCTAAAAATTAACTATGAATAACAGATCAGTTTCTTTCATAACCTGGGAGTCAATTACTACATCTGTGCATCCATGACTACCGTGCTGCCCACACCACAGTGGGAAAGCTCTGGACAGGAAGCCTAACTAGGCAGGAAGTATTGCCTAAGGAATAAACAGCACATTGCAAGGATGACATGAGCCAGTGTAACACAGAGTGTCCCACATCAAAGCAGCTGAGGGCAGATGGGAACCTGCAGAGCCACCACCATATAAACAAAATTAGGGTTTGTGGGGGCAGCCAGTCCTGCAAAATGACAACATTAAAATTCATATGAGCATGTAGATGGCATTACCTGCCAGGATGGGCCTTTAAGAGCTGGTTATCCACTATTGTTATAAATTAGGTACCAGTCATGCCCTGGATAGACAAGATGTTTTCTGAGACGGCAGCACTTCCAAATACTGACCTGTCCACCTTGCTACAGCCAAGCACAAACAGGGCTACACCTCACAGCTGAAGCCAATTCACAAGTTACTTTTGTGCAGAGGGCTTGATCCAAGCCAGTGCAGGCAATCACTGTGCAAGGCAAAAGCCAGTGCCCACAGCTGACTCACCAGCAGGAGAGCTGGTAGAATTGCATCTTACAACCTAATTTTTCAGGCAGATAGAAGGAGAATCTTAAAGCTGCATGCTCTGGTTAGTGATTAAAATGACATCCCAACTTCTGTGGTGCTCTCCTATCCTGCTACTTTTTAATCCTGTGTGCCTGAGTGTAAGAGATGGGAAATGCAAAAAGTTTGGCCTAGGCTGAGGGCTTTTGTGCTTCAGCAAAGCCCAAAGTTTGGTGTTGGTTCCCTCGCAGTCCCAGTGACACAGACTTGCAAGGCAGCTGTCACACACAGAGCTCGCTCGCCTCCGTGTAACAATGTGCAAAGAACTGGAGTTCCCACCTAAGCAAAACCTTTTCCTCACCCACCCCCTGGCAGATTGATGTTTTCTAAGCCACCAGGCACCAGATGCTTCCAATGTTTGGAATGGAGAAGTGACACTTACAGGATCTTAGCGTGGGCCTTAGTGCTGGTCACCAGAGTTAGGTACAGCTCGTTCTCATAGTGAGGGATGTCATCGCAGTACACAGCTTCTCCACTGGCTTGTTTGGCTGCTGAAACATGCACCAGAGGCCTGCCCACCATATCTTCCACAGCCTGCCCCTTGGGCACTTCCTGCAGTAAAACACACGGCTGACTACTGCTGGCTTGGGTGGAAGGGGATGGAAGCATTGATGGGAGAGCAAAAGGCACTGCGAGACATTTGGTGAATGGGGGCTCAGTCCTGTGTGAAAGGAAGGTAAACAAGATGCCACAAGACGTGGCTACACAGAGGGGAGCTGTAGGGAATGAAGTGAAAGTAGTTTGGGTTTTGAAATTTCTATGGAAGGGAACGGTTTGCTTTCATATCTTGCATAAGAAAGTTCAAGTTCTAAAATGATTCTACTCTCAAAGCTTAAGAGAATGGGTCACTAACAGAGAAATAAGAAAGAAGATTCATCCCAAGTGTGAAGCTTGAGAGATGCCAAGAAAGGCAGGCTGTAACTGGGGAAAACAGAAGGGGAGTTTCAGTTTGGATATAGCTGGGTACAGGAGGAAAAGCAATTTTTAGAAAGCCCTCAGTCTTCTGAGAAAGCTTTCAGAGAAAGCTTGGGCTCTCTTGGACAATAATAGGAAAGAATAGTACCCTAAAATGAGGAAAGGATTGAGACCCAAATACAAGCTTCATGCATGGCATTATCAAAGTTTATGTGATGACCATACTCAGGGAGACAAGAAGATAAGAAGCACAGCTTGAGCTACAGAAAAGCCTGCATCTATGTCATGCTGACACTGCTACTTACTTGGGAAAGCTGCTACTTACTTGGAAGAGCTGGGCATTTGCAATGGGATCTTTGTGAAATAGCTCTGTAGCACTGATGTAGTTTGAAGGGACAGGCTCACACATAGTTTTCTGCCAGAGACATATTAAAAAAAAATCACCTTCCCTTCCAACTCCTTTCTCACATTCCCTAGTAGCTCAGGATATTTTCCATTCTCCATCTCCCACTTAAAGTAATCCATAATCGACTGAGTTAAAGGTGAATGAGGCTCAGGCTCTGTACCAAGAACAACCACAGAGCCACAAGACTTCTTGTAATGCAGCAAAGGGGAGAAGTCCAGGAATCATCGTGTGAACCACAGAGCTACACCCTTCCACCACAATGGGAGGGTGCCATGAGGAAGCAAGTGGGAAGCTACACAAGTCACTGTTACGCAAGCAGTAGAGCAGTTCTGGCAGCTATTGCAGCATGGATTTTGTCATCAGGCAGGACTGCTCAAATCTGAACCCTCCCCGTGCCATCCCCACCAAGGCAGTACAAAGAGGTTCTCCTTCCCCAGATCTGCCTAACCAAGGAGCACTCACAGTGCCACTCTTGCTCAGTTTCTGAAGGACTGTCAGGTAGAACTTGAAGAAGAAGCTGAGGGTGAGCGTGCGTCGGAAATCCACCATGCCCCCAGGAGCCGAAGGAGACAGATCCATCTCACCCGCCAGTAAGCGGCAGGCATCCTGCAGCAGCTTCTCATTCCAGTCTCTGCAAGGGAACAGAGGTGACACAGACACCTTGCTCAGACCTAAATTCACCAAGGCAGACTAATTCTTCTGACACAGGACCACAGAATATGATGAAGTGGAAGGGGCCCATCAGGACCATCGAGTCCAACTCCTGGCCTTGCACAGAACAGCCCAAGGGTCACACCATGTGCCTGAGATTGTCCAAATGCTTCTTCAACTCTGTCAGACTTGGTGCTACCCTGGGGAGCCTGTTGCAGTGCCCAACCACCCTCTGGGTGAAGAAACTTTTCCCCTGATATCCATCCTAAGCCTCCTGACACAGCTTCATGCTATTCCCACAAGCTGTCAAGCAACAGCCATCAATTCTATCTGTTCATAGCACATGTGTATGCTTTGCTCTCATCTTGGGCTCATGCTACCTTCCCTAAAGGTATGGCAAAGCTATTGCCTGATAAAAGCACTGATTTTTCCATCCAATTTGAAATTAACCTGGTTTTGCAGGTCATGAACACATCTAGCTTCTGTCCACTTCAACTGATGAGTGAATTTGGCAAGAAAATGGCTCTCTGAATGAGAGAAAGACATGGATCTTTGAGGGTAAGGCATACTGGAGGAAGCAAGGCATTACACAAACTACACTGCTGCAGAACAATAACTATACTTCTTCCCCTTTCTCCTGTGATGTACTTTTAGAGAGGATTTAGGATGTTTTAGATATTTAAACTACTCCTGTAAAAAAAACCCAGCGCTGTTCCATTAGACAGTCTTTTTATCACAGAAAAATTCCTACCTGCCAGTGAGTTCCTTGCAAGTTTTTAGTGCCAGAACAGTGGTAGGAGCCATTCCTCCATAGCTCAGTTTTATCTCCTTCACTCTGCTTGTGCCATCTTGGAACAGGACCCTCAACCCACAGGTCACAATAGCAATGTCATCCTCACGACGAGAAGCCTGCTTGAAAGCTGAGAAGTACTCACCCTGAAAAACAGGAAAGTATTTCTGTATCCTCTACCTTGGCATGCTTTGGAGTGTAAATGTGGACAAGCTGTTTAACCTATCTCTAGGTGTATGAGCTATTTCAGGGAACAGTATCTGGTTGATTCATTGTGCAGGGCCAAGCAGGACGTGTTTGTTCAGGCAGTACTGTTTATTTTCACATAATTCAATGATTAATTTTAATGTATCAGTTCAGTGGTTGTTACCAAACCTAGGACTGTGGGGGAAACAAGCTTTGAAAGAGATCTACTTGTGCCTGTCACATTTTTCCATATTTCAAGAGAAAGAAACAAGACAGATTGTTTGTGCATAAACAAAATTACAGTTTCTCAGCAAGTTTTTCTTCCTCTCAGGCTGCTAAGATAGAAGTCTAATCAGTAAAACCCATATCCTAAACTCCTTCACTTCAGAAGTCTTTGAAATCTGCAAGAGCTGAAATCAGCAATCACAAATGCCTCTCAGTTCTAGAGTAGACTATTAATAAAAGAAAATTTAATCTGTTACAGGAAATAGAATTCTCAGTTACTATCCTGGTCTCCACAGAGTGAGGAAATTCTTGTAAATGCACCAGCAACCGTAGCACACAAAACTCAGCAGCTCTCTTATAAAGGGTTGCCATAAATATGAGATTAACACTCTACCAGGATGCACCATGTAATAGTGACACCCTGGAGTCACAGCATGGTCAGTCCTCTTGCCTGTTCTGCAGGTGAGGACAAACTGCTGTTCAGGCACCCTGCAGACTACGAGAGGGATCAGATCTGATGTCTTTGCACTGCCCTTCTGGAGAGTTTTTTGACAAGTTTCTTCTCCAATAGCTCAGCCAAGTGACTCCACACAGCACAGCAGTCTGCTTCAGTATTTCTAATCTGAAGCGGACAGCAATCCTTTCATTGTTGGATAGAACAATTTCTCTCCTCTTGACAATGGCAATAGTTTCACAAGAGGCCCCTTTTGTGCATCAAGGACTTGTTACTGCAGATATAACTGAAGGGTGTGCTTCATTTCCTGGATTCCAATAACTACTCAGCAGTCAGTAGATAATAGCAGAGGAGAATCAATAACATCCTTCCAGTGAGGACATTCTACCACTCTGCTTGTTAAAACAATTAGCTTTCAAGGAGGAGAAAAAGCAGCCTCCTCTCTTACTGTGTGATCAAGAGATTTCCAATAACATGACTGGAACAAGAGGGCATTACTGCCTTCCCTCTTCACAGGACACCTTAATTTTCTTCATTCAGTATCCTGTAGGAGGAAAGGCACTCATGATCTTTCCTTGCTTGGAGTGTAGGTAAGTGAACCATCACATCACATACCTGCCTGGGTCTCTTGGCAAACAGAGCATGTTAATTCTTTCTGTTGTTTGGCCAGTCTTACCCTTGGTGTGACAAGTTCCATTAATGCAAGGCATAGCATCAGTTTCAAACAAAGATAAACAAAAAAATTCTATCTAGCTGTGTGCTGAAACAGCCCTGCTTTCATTAATGAGGAAATCACAGTTGGAGAAAACTTTGCCTGTGACATACCAGCACCTTCAGACATGCCCTAAAGAACTTCAGCCTCCTTATTTGTGAGCAAAGATCAGCCGAGAAACCATGAAGTTCAGAGTTCAAAAGTCGTTTCAGTTTTTCAGATCAATAATCTGCATATAACCTAGGGCTGCTTCTAAACATTTGTTTGTTTTGTGTAATTGCCATGAGTCTGTCATATGGATGGAGGAATACAGTGTTTTCCATCGGCAACCTCAACCGTGTTTCTCATTATGGCAAAAAGTGATGCTTTTATGACAAGTCCAAAGAAGGATTGCCCAGAAATAGATGGAAAACCCACCATAAATAAAATAATTTTGTTCCTTTAGTAGTAAAATTTAAGAGGATACACAAGGGATTTATTAGTTCTCTCCCATAATACAATGGCATGTATTCAAGTAAATCAGTGTTTTCCATTTATAAAGAAAATGCAACACCATTCTGCAAATCCTTGCATCGTATGACTTGGAGACACAACCTCTAAGAAGGTAAGCACCTTCACAAGCACAAAATTACAGTCTAATGTTCTCAGCCCTAAAGGAAGAAGCAGAGTTTTACTTCTTAGACACTGAATCAGTTGTGGTTTATGCTGCTACAGCTGAGAAGTACTCATTGTTCCATTTGAAGCAAGTTGTGTAGCCTCATTGGAAGTTGCAAGTGCACAAAGCCAAAATGCCCTAACAGCCAGTCCTTGTGGTTTACATCTTGCAAGACAAGAATATATAAACTGAACTGAACTTTTATCCATACATACTCTTCCCCATTTCATTTCCCGTATCAGCTCACAGGAATTAAGCAGGAATCTTCGGCACATTAAGTTCACTCTCTGTCTGAAATTGCTAAAGCCTTTTCTGTTCTGCTTTTCAAGCAGAACTTCTACCTCTGGGAACATAATTTTGACACTTTTCATCATTACCAAATGCACTCAAAAAGCTTCAGATAATAAAGTGAACTTTCTCTTCCTTGCAGTAGAAAAATTCTTGGGCTTACCATACTTTATAATTGAGCCCTGCTCCCCTTGCTTGCAAAGAATAGTGTGCTGCTGAATTTTCGCCAAATAATTCACTTGCTTCCTGGTCCACTTGGGACTACATAAGCATTTGGGAGTCAGTCAGGAAAAAGGTGCCTAACTTTGAAAACAACACTTAAATAACAGCACTTTAGCTCCACAGACAGTAAAGTTTTTTCTTACAAACTTACCTTTTTGCTGTAGGGTATTTCAACAGACAGAAGTATTTCTTCAGGCTTAACTATTGTCTTTCTGTAGCTAGTGAAAAACTTCTCATCCATTGTGACCGTCCTTTTGCCCTCTGTAGAGCAAAGGGACATTAGTGGTAAATAAATGAAGAATGGCAATAGTATGTGTGGAAAAGCCTTCAAAGCACACAAGTCACTCTTGATACGATATCTGATTTCATATTTCCACTCTCTTTCACCAAATCAAGAGTATCTTTCTCAGATTTATTTTGGTATTTATAGACTCTATAACAGCTTCTGCCTACATATTAAATTTTCTTTGCACATGAACTGATCAAAAAGACCTCCTTCTTTCCTTATCTAATTAAAGCTTAGTTTCCAGGTGAGCCAGTTTCCAACACTCTAATGAAATCCCCCTCTTTCTCCTTTCCATAGCCTGCATACAAATCAGCAGTCAGTCCACTGACTGGACAGTCCGCTTACTTCAAGGATCCTATTTTTAAAAAAATTTTCCTAAGAACAAATAAAAACTGAGATGTTTGGCTTTCTTCTTAGAAAAAAACCCCAAGTTTCAGTCTATCTGAATAAACCAGAAGGATTAAAGTATGACAGTGACAGAAACTATTTAATACCTATTATTTTTCATTAGTACACATCTTCAACCAGCTCTTCACAAGGATGTGCCTGTAAGTATATACACAGTACCAGAGATTCCATCTGGCAAAGAACTTCAAAATTCTTTAGGAAGTCAACCTTAGGTCTAGCTTTAGGACTTCAGCCTCAAAAGGTGTGAAAACACAGAAGACACAGACTTATAATGTTAATTTCCACTTTTAAGTTCTGGCCTGACCTAACAACCCATGGCAGAGGGCTGCTGACTATCCCACTCCCCTCAGTGCCACAGGGAAACGTAACTCACCTTTTGATACCAAAGTCAGTTTGCTTCCACTTGCCATTAACACAGGATTTAAGTCAGAAATTGGGCTTGCTGTCATTATGTTCCCACCAATAGCCTAGAGTGAAAATAATGCATCAGATAATTATTAAAAATCTAAGCAATTTTTGTCCTTTAATTACTTGGGAAAACCTAAGCACCAGAAAATCAGATGCTGTCTCAGGTAATATTAACATTTGCCTGAAACAGATTTAGAACAGTGTTTTGTTAATGCATCAAGAATACCTTATGCTCAAACTTCATATGTGCAACCATGCCAAAATTCAATCACTGTACCTGCTATTAAGGGAGGATCCATCAAACTAAAAAGGGTATTTTCAGTAATAATCAGGAAGCAAAGGTTTTGGCTCCAAAACAAATGCATAGCACAGTGTCTCATGGAATAAAAGTTCTTGTTTGGTAGGTTGGTTTAACTGCTTCCTTGATATTTTTTTCTTAGGACACACAGAGTTTGAACACACCTTCCCCTTTAAAACTAGAGGAAAATTTGCCAGATCTGATACATTAACACTATGACTGCCCTAGTTGTCATGGCAATATATACACACCTGCTTCTTTGAAGTTTGTCCAGCACTCTAAACACCTTTTTTGTTAAATTAGTCAAATCTCACTACAGTTCCCCCTACTTGGTGCTAACAGCAATGGAAGACCTGGACAACTGCCATGTTTCCCTTGCTTGCTAGATGTGTGACATCATCACAGCACAGACACCAGCTGAGACCCCACCACTTCTGGGGTTGATTTTTGTGTGCTGGTTTCTTTCCTAAAGTTTGCAAACGTTCTCCTGTGAGATGCACAGAGCACACCAACACTGCTTGAGGTACGCCGCTCCTCAAACTGAGCTTTCAGCTACAGCCCCTGGTGCTCCCAAGTCACTTACAGCCACATTCCTGATCTGTGGCCCTGCAAACCAGCGCAACTGCTCCAGGACAGCCTGGAAGATCTCTGTTTTGTATGGAGGAAGGTCTGCCACTGCTTTTTTCATCACCTCCTCTACTGACTTCAGGGTACAGGCAGCACCAATGGTGACCCCTGTAAACAAACAAAGGAAAAGAATCGTTCTCCAAAATTTTGAGGTAGAGAAGGACAGTTAGTGTCTGCAAAGCTTAGATGCCACTGAGCTCAATTAGACCTACAGTTACACCAGACTATTTAGAATGCACTGCACGTAAACATCACATCCTCAGAACAAAATTCACCTTTAAACCACAGCTCATGCTGGTGCTGTCTCCCACATAACAGTAACACACCACCCTTTAGCATCAGTGTATTATTAACAATATTGGCCTCCTTTAGGTATTAGTTTGTCCTTTGAGAAGTGAACTCCATCTCCTTTCCATTTTCCACACTTTAAATATCTTACCAGACATTGGGGCACATCCATTAAATTGTCCTAGGTACTTTTATTTGTAAGGCTGACCTATTTCCATCACAAAGCTAAAGGCAATGGATTTATAGAATTGTTAAGGTTGGAAAAGATCTCCAAAGATCACTGAGTCCAGCCTCTGACTGAAGACCACCACACCAGCTAAACACAGCATTAAAAGTCACATCCAGTCATTTCTTGAACACTTCCAGGGGTGGTGACTCCACTGTCTTCATGGGCAGCCCAGACCAGTGCTAGACCATGCTGTCACGTGAAGAAATTCTTCCTGATGTCAATCTCCTGGCACAGCTTGAGGCAGTTTCCTCTTAATCCTGTTACTTGTTACCTGAGAGAAGAGACTGACTCCCACCTTGCTACACCCTCCTTTCAAGGAATTGTAGAAAGTAATAAGGTCACCCCTGAACCTCCTTTTCTCTGGGCTAAACATCCTCAGCTCACTTTTTTACATATCAGTCACTTGATTTCCTGCATGGGAAAGGTATAATGCGTACAGAAAATAATCTTTAATCTGGGGATTTTTCTTCACACCCTCTTTATTATTCCGTGGAGTCCCCACTCACCTCACAGATGTTCTGCCTCCTTTTTGCTCACCTGTTTCAGTGTGCTGAACAGCATTCATTTCAGGGATCCATGATGGTGCTATTATCACTGGATACAGAAGGTTCTTTAACCTCATCTCGATACCTTAAGGAAAAGATACTGTTTGGTATTTGTGTGATGTGGCTACTGCTGTACATAATCCTTCAAGAAAGAAAAATTAATACCATAAACCCTACATTTAGTAATTATTGCATGAACCAGTTGCTCAAGACAACAGAATTACTAAGTATGTCTGAACTTTCCTCATCAGCACTTATATTTGCAAAGGTATCCATGTGGTGTGAGTAGGCAGTAAGATTTCAAGTCTTGAGAGCTTTCTCACTGAAAAGTCCTTCAAAATGCAGCTTTCACAATTTAATTAATTTGATTATGGGAACATTCTAAGCTGTCACTCCCCTCTCCTCAAAATTACACAAACAGCACAAAGGCCTGGAGATATGGATGAGCATTCTTTTCACCTGGCACAACAAAGAATGGAGAAAAACATTCACTGTGAGATTAATCTATCTGAGAAGAAAATCTGTTCCTCCATACAACCTGAAAACAAATAGCTTTTTTAAAGTTATGACATGAAAGAGGTTTCCATTTGTGTTGTTCTCACAAAATACTTAATGGAAGGTTTTCCAACTGTTTATAATAAGCATCAGCACTTTCTCTTACCCACTTCTGTGTTCCCCACAACGAGTTTGGCATTGGGGTACTGGGATTTGAGAGCCACCAGTTCATTGAGAGTTGTGGGCTGGATCCACATCACACGCTCGCCTTTGAAACACATCTGCTTCTGCTGTTTGTTACTCTGAGTCTGCAGAAGGGAATTCAGATAGAGCTCAGCCCCTACATCGAGCCAAGAACCCCTGCTCACATGCTGCCCATGCCTGTGCCACACTGGGTTCCATCTCAGAGGAGTTACTGTCAGGGGGCTGGGATATCCACACTGTTGTTGGCAGTTTGCCATTCCCCATCCTTCTGCTAGCAGTCATGAAAGTCTTTCTCATGCTGACAAAAGTTCCCCCTTCCTGGTACTGCCAGGTGCATTCTGCTGCCACATCTCCCTAGCAAGATCTGTGCCAGCAAGCTCCATCTAACAAAAGTTTTGGCACATGCCCATGGCTCCAGTTGCTTCAATGGGTTTTCCATTCTCATCTCAATCCAAAAATGTTTGTCTTTAGCACTGATGAATTGCAATTAACCTGTCAGGCCAGGTTCTGATTCCCTTTTTAACAATTTCACCCAGCAACTGAAGAAAACATGAAATCAACCCTGGGGCAGGAGAACATCTAGGAGAAGAAACAGAGGAGCCCTATCTCAAGCTGAATTTATCTTATGTTATGGTCTAAGAGAACCTACTCATGCTGTAGCTCATGACACATTTAAACTAGGTACAGCAGCAGAATTAATGGTTGAATTTCAGTTGTTAAATGTGAAGGAAGCTGTAAGATGTGTCATGTGCTGGATTAGATTCCTGGCTAGGACACATTGCTTAGGGAGGAGGATGAAACATGGAGAGAAACTAATCTCACTTAACTTTTAATGTCATTATGAACCAACCAACTTTTAATCCTGCTACAGTGAGAAGATTTTTTTAAAGGAAAACTCTGAGATACATATTCAGCTACACCCTGTAGTGGTTTTGGTTTGTTAATTTGAGATTTTATGGTTAATGTATTAAAGAGGTGGGTTTAGTGCTGGTTAATTATTAGTGTACTCATTTTTTATTGTGAGGTAGGATTAGGAGAAAGGCAAAGTAGGTCTAAAACATTAAAAAGGTATAAAGAAAAGTTGATTAATAGTAACTAAGTAATAAGAATTAGAATAAAACCTTTAAGGCATTTCTCTCCCCCCACAATCTCTTCTTTCCCAATAACAATGTAAAGAAACAAAACCTAAAATTGAAGTCAGTTTACTACTTCTAAAATAGTCTTTCTTTGGTTTACTTAGGGACAGAAGTATTTTTTTGTTAATGTTATGGAGACTTCTATACAAGAAAACAGTTCTCTCATGGTTCTCTCTACAAATAGCAGCTGCCTGGAGAAATCTGCAATCATTAAATTCCTCTCATTTTCTACAAGTTTTTCTCACAGTTGTGTTTATGGGCCATGTCAGCTTATGGGATTCTGTTTTAAAGATGAGTTGTTTAAAGGCAAAAGTTCCCATTATTTATTTCTAAAATTGTTTTCTTAAGGGCACAAGATCTTTATTACTTTTTTCTCTTTCTCTGTTTAAACTTTTCAAAAAATTACAATTACTTCAACATTTACTTACTTTAGTATGAAGGCCTTTGCTCAATATCTACAATTTGAATACTTTCATCTCTCTACACCTTTATGTGCTATAAGGAAAAAGAGTATTTTCTCATATCTTTACAGGAGAATTTCAGCCTAAAACCAAAAGTATCTCTTCATTTCTCCTGTCTGGGATTGCTTCTTCATTGACTTTGGTGTCTTCATGTTGTTGGTTGGACTCAGTGATCCTTAAGGTCTCTTCCAACCTGGTCATTCTGTGAATTCCTTTACCTTGTCTGCATTTTTGTTCCTTCTCTTCCTTGAGGGAGGATTGAAGCATTGAAGAAGTTAATGTTTTGTTCAGGGCTTGTAGATGGTTACCTGACCTAGCTGGGGTTGGTAGTTTGTGGTGGGAACTGTGGCCAGGGGGCCCTGATGGCCTCTCCTCTGCCCTGCCCAGTTGTTGTGGGTGAATTTTAATGGTGGTGGAATCTTGGCCAAGCCAGCCCGGCCTGAGGCTGCTCTTAGGGGCCAGGGGGTCCAGCTCAGCAGTGTCAAGGTATCAGAAATGGCAACCACAACCCAACATCAGCTCTCCCAACATCAGTGGCTTCCCTTCCCTTACCCAAAAACCAAACGGGGGCAGAAACCCCAGGAAAAGGGTCTGGGCCTACAGCAAACATCACCCAACCATGGTCTAAGCCCTTGTTACCTCTTTACCAACCAGAAAAGAAAGAAAAAATTCCCCATGTACAACTTTCCAGTAGCTGAAAACTTTACATCACTTCTGTGCACGCCCATACAAAACCACCACAAGCTCCTACTTCTCGTCCTACACTATAAGGCGGACACAGGGAGACATGCTCAGCTATATCTGTATTCGATGCAGAAGTTCACATCTGACCTAGTAAATTGACATTTGGATTTTAGCTTCTGTTCCACCCCCAGACAGGCAGTGACTGGGAACAAAGGCAACCCAAGAGCAGAGAGACATATGGTGAGAGCCAGAAAGAAAGCCAGACAGCTGGAGCAGGCACCTGGCCTGCATATTTCTTTTCAACCACCCTGGCTCAAACACCTTCTGCTTTATAAAACAGGGAAGGATTCATGCCCATGCATTTTCATTCATTAGCAGCCATTTTTTCCCTGCCATTTCCTCAGGACAGAGTCGCTCAAACCTTGTGCAGAACAACTAAGCCAACATATCACTGCTACTTCTTTCTGAACAAACTTACCATTAATTCTGGTGGGAAGATTGGCTCCTGTGTGGGATCCAGTGGCTGGAACTCAGAAGAATTGAACAGGCTGGAGGATGTCATTGTCTGTGACAGACAAAATGCAAATGGCTAATAACCAAGGAGAAAGCTCTCCACATATAACCATAACTCTTTCCTCTTTCAACTCAAATCCCTGTTACTATTTCATAGAGCCAAATATGGCAAACACAACAAAATGATGCCACCTGATTCAGCATTTAAGGTTCTCCAGTTATATTTTTCTGATTCCCCTGCATGTTTTGTCAGAAACCTCAACCCTGAACACACTAATATGTTTTAGTCCATCAAAAGTGACATCCCTTTCACATTGGCATGTTAAATCATGTCAAATATACCTTTTCTGAGGTATGACCATAAAATATAAATTAGTCTAAATTGCTCTGCATAAATATTGCTAAAATAAAAGCATTGGGCTTGAGCATACAACAAGCCAGATCAAAGACATTAAAGCATCAGAAATATAGGAAAAAGTTCTAGTTGAGAGGCACCTTACCACACTGTCTTCTTTTCCATTCATGCAGCAGCCTGGACCATTGGCTTTTCCTCCACAGCAGCCCCCATTCTGAAGAAAAAAGCATACTTCAGCTATTCTAAACATAGTCAGAACATTGCAACTTTTACAGAATATAGTCCTCTTATCAATCCTTAGCTTTCAGAATTTTGCAGTAACATTCTTCATTAATAAACTGCTTGAAAGAAAGGACTCCAGGTAGTCTCAATTGTTGGAGTATTCCATGCAACACTGCCCTAAAAAACAATCCACAGAAATTCACTGGAAATTTCTGGTAATGAATTTAATTATATTCTCTGTTTCCTATATTTATTTTCTACTCACACTACCTTAAGCACCAATTTCTTCTTTCCATTCCTTCATTTGTTTTGCACCTAGACTGATACATACAATGTGATTAACTTTTTTGCCCCTCCAGATATTCCCGAAGATCCCAATTTTACAGTTTTGGAACAGAGAGGAAATTACTTCATTCATCACTGGACAGCAAAGTTTGGGAAATATCACAGTGGGGAATTTAGACCTGTTTTCACAGAAAGATGTATAACTTCAACGCACCAGAAGCTGGTAACACATTCATACAGTTGTCACCATGCTATTTGACAGAAGGGTTGCTCCTTGCAGACTCAGAAGGAACATCAATGTTTTAAAACCCACATCACAATGGCCATTCATGCTCATCAGGACATGCACAGTCCCGGCATTTTCCAAGAGATGGGCAACAAAAACAGCCCAGAGAGCTCCAAGTATCTGCACCACAGCAGAGCCAGAGAGGTGACTAACACACTCCAATGTGTTAATACACTAAAGCCCCAATGCTATATTGAAAATTATGGTTATGGGTTTTAACATTCAGCTTACCATGGTAATTTCCTTCCCACTACGACAGCATCCAGTGCCATTGGCAGCTCTGCCACAGTAATTCATGTCCTGTGGGAACAAAATGTTTTGAGAAAAAATGTGCAGACTCCAAGGAAATGAAGTAGGTTTGATCCCTTTTTGAGAGAAATATCCAAAGCTGAAGGAAGGTGCCAATCACATAGGTGTTTTTCTTGCCAATGGAAGGCAATATCCTGCAGTGTCATGCCCACTGTACTGAAAAACCTCTTGTTCTGGTTTGAAACTATTCTGACCATTCAACAATTAGCTTTGGAGCTGTGAGGAGACACCCAGAGAAGGCTGAAAGCACATACAATACAGTACCAATGCTCTACCATAGAGACCATCTGCCTTTGTTTTTGATCTGACTCCTGTTAGTTTCATTTCTTGAAATGATACTTTACTGTGTGAGGCAGGAAATAGCAGATGCCTGATCACATTCCACCTCTAATCACAATTTTGTTGCTCTCTATTAGAGGTCAACAGAAACCACTGTTTGTGCTATGTAGAGTCCCTTCCTCTCCCTGGCATCTCCTTTTTACACTGAAGTGCATTCAGTGCTTCCCAGTCAGATGGAAGTCAGATTGCCCCAGGTGTGATCCTTGTTCCAGTTCTCTGAATCCTCTTCTGCTCTGCAATACCCTGTTAGAGATGAGAGGAACAGAACTGTACAGAGTACTCAAGTGTAGGAAGAGCCCTGGCAGTGTTTTCTGGTTTGTATCCCATTCTATTCTCCTGTCTCTGAAGTTCATAAAATCCTTCAGAAATTCCTCAAACCCAGTTCCTGCCTTCACTACCCAAACTTTATACCTCTTAGCTTATTTTCTCATATTCTTACTCACACTCTTTTAAACCACATTTAGGGTAGGTGCAACGGCCTTACTTCCCACCACAGTCCCAACACAACTCCACAACAGTGACCTCCCCCTCCACAGCAAAAATATGCCATTTTCCCCCTACTGCCTTTTAACCACTCTTTCATATATACAGAGATCTTGCCTCTTAACCCCTATTGTCTTCAAAAGCCTTTGGTGAGACACTGTGGAAAGCCTGTTGGAAATCCAAGTAGACTTTTATCAGCCGGGTTTACCAACCATTTGTAATGGATCTCACTCCTGCTTGTATTCTCTTTTGTTGATTGCAATTCTGGATAAGAAAATTAAATTAATGGGCATCACTGTAAATTCTTTCCTTTTGATATTTAATGCCAGTGTAGACCCATGAATGACTGGTAATCAGTGTAGCACATAATGATCTACTCCTCTTCACAGCCTCCAGCATTCTTTCAGGTACAAAGGAACTAGAAAGAATTTATGGCAAAGCTTATACTGCACCCAAGCCAGCAGAAGAATTCTGGGCAAGAGCCATAAAATAGTGACTTCTACTTCTTTCCAGAGCTATTCCTGCTCTGCAGCTGACCTTTCAAAATCAAATTCCTCACCAGATTCCTCCACAGTGTGTCCCTACCAGTGCACCATACCTTCACACTTTGTCCACACCAGGATCAGCTGCAAACTGCACTATGCAGTGAGGGTAAGTTTTTCTGAGACTTACAGAAAAGAGTTACAGAGTCTGATTATCTGTAATCCAAAAAGGGACCATCAGATTTATTATTTATTACTTATTATTATTTATTATTTACGTGTCCTCAGCAAGTGGAGAGAGTAAAGGGTTTACTCTATCTGAATTATTAACACATGAATCACATACACAGAGACCAGGAGCTGAGGGTTGTTGAAGCAAATTTATTTCCTTCCTCCCCATTTGCATTCATGACATGTTTCAGTAACAGAGAGAAAACAGCCATCTTCCCAGGTTTTTTTTAAATATCATCTGAAGCCACTTACTTTAGCAAACGTCCTGTATCCTTCCAGAATGGGTCTGTAGCCTGTACACCGACACAAGTTCCCTGCATTGCCAGAGCAAAAGGATAAGGATTTTGTGTCATTTGGCTAAAAAGTTCTCTTGTTTTAAAACACTCTATTGTTTCTCACAAAAGCATATCAAATCTTGATACAGCTAATGAAAAAAATGGGAGGAACAAAATTTCATTAGGAACCTTGCAACAACCCTACCATTCCTTTGTGTTGAAATTTAAACTGAAATTCATTTAGAACAAATTCAATCTGTGTTATTCAGTATTCATTTATCTCAATTGTGTGAGTCTTATCAGTATACCAACTAGTCTGTCTCCTGAATTACACAGAGATTGCTCTCTCCTGCATCATCATTCCTCTCAGATCACTGCTGGAAGCACAGTAATGATTCTAACCTCAGAAGCAACAGCAGCCTCTCACAAGATTTACACATTTGGGTTCTGCCCTGCTCCATCATTGCATGTTGCTGTCTTGGTCCTTGACTCGAGGACATGTTCTCTGTCACCTCTGCAGGCTCTTGTGACAGCAATGAATAAACAAAAACACTTTCATGCCCCTCAATGGCAGGCCACCTTTTGGTCTGTTGTTAAGATTAGTGGGCTCCTAATCCCAGACTTGGGCCACTTGCCCCTGCTTATGAACTATGATGTTCATTTCTTAGCACCTGGCCAGCCCCTGAGTGAAAAAGCTACTTCTTAACCTCACCACCATCACCTATTTTTAACAAAATACATTAAATAATGGTGCACCTCCACCCCATTGGGTGAAGAAGATGCAATAAAAGCAGAACAGGTTGCACCCCTGCAGGGCTGTGAATATTACCTTGGAAAGCATCTTCAATATCCTCCATGTGGGGCTCGGGGTTGTTCCGAAGCAATGTGTACATGGACATGACAATGCCTGGAGTGCAAAAGCCACATTGGGACCCATGACTTTTTGCTATTCTTTCCTAAGAGAAAGTAAAAACCACAATTAGCCCATAATATCAAGGTGAGTTTGTTGTTGTGCTTGTTTCTATTACACTTCTGTTAAAAGCAAAACCCAGTATCACAGAGGAGCTAACATTATCATCAGATGTTCTCTGGTCAATTAATCTGTGAGACAGTCATCAAAGAGGAGAGCAGCTTGAAAAGTTTGCACCTATGAGAACAGTCAAAATATGAATGAGGGCCACTAGAAGATTCCAAGGAGATCAGGAATTTTTCAGATTTACCATGCTAGGAAGGTTTGGGCTACCTGGTGAGACCAGAGTTTGAATTTCAAAACTTAGCTGTCAGAATCTTCAGGTGGGGGGAGAGAAAAGAAGATGAACAAGGGCTAGATTGGCTGTCATCCAATCATGCACATCAAACTTATTTTTCACTTTGTTGTTTACTCCCTCAGATACTGGCACAAGTCCTACCCACTGTGCAAACTGAGATGAATCACAGTTTACTGTAAGGGAGCAGGTGTCTGACAAAGAGAGGCAAGGCTGCATTGCAACACCTTGCTAGAAGAGCAAGGATGCACATTCCTGTTGTTCCTTCTCACCAAGAATATTCTGAGACTCAAGAAAAATCACTGAACCAAAACTTACTTCACTACTGCAGGGAAGGTTCCTAACTATGCAAGATCAGAAACCAAAGTCATTCATGGAAGGCTATAGGAGAGCCCAAACCTGTCCCAGATTTCCTAGCTCCAGGTCATAAGATTGGCTTTCCTCACAACATCAGCCTCCCCAGACCATGATGTGGACCAAATACAGCCATGCAGCCCAAGGACAAAAGCATTGGCAATTCAGCCAGGATAGCATGAGTTAACCTGTTAGGGACAGAACAGAGCTGTAGCATTGTCTCAGGAGTTTGATTCTGCCACTTAGCCAATTCTGCAAGTATGGATTGCTCATGGCTTTAGCATTATGGTGGAGGTCCCAGTGTCCTGGAACAGGTTTAATTAGCGTAAGAAAACATGCATAGAGGGTTTTAAAGTTACGAATATTAACAGCTTACCTGGGCTGGGTGCAGCCTGGATTTTGTGTTTCCTATGCCTTCAACAGTAGTTACAGCCACGTGATGCAGGGCACAGATAGGGAAGAGACAAGCATTGGCAGTATGGTGGCTAAAACAGTACATTAAGGTCATTTCATTTGACTGTGCTGCTCAGCAAAGGAAAAAGGGAACAGGAGCAGTGAAGAGTACTCAGAAGCTACAGCAGTGGACACAATAGGAGCACTTAAGTAGATGTGATACAAGAATTAAATTCAAGCCAAATCCTACAGTACACAGCCATCCAAAGCTCTAATCAATTTTCCTTGCAGTTTGATCTGGGCATAGGATTCCACCTAGATATAGCAACTTTAAACATTCCTGTTGCATGTTAAGATACAGGACCCGTACAAGTAATTTGTAGGGGCAGACTACAAATACCAAAATGTTGTGCAGCTGGACACTTTCAAAGTTACATAAAAGCCTGGAGTTCTCGATCTTTTAGCTAGAAAGCTGTTTCTAGATGGTAAACATCAGCAAAAAATCTAGACTGAAGGTAAAAGAGAATAATGTTGCCAAAACTCATATAAGAACTAGCTATTTTATCTCATTTCTATCAAGACAGAATAATGACCCTACAGATATCTGTTCACGGCCATGCTATTAAGCAGAACCACGAGGATCCAAGTTATAGCACAACCAAGCGTTATTCCAAATATATTAAAGATTTCAGTGCTTTCTATTCCCCACAGTAAAACTAAACTAAGGCCTGTCTCTGTCTCATTCCCTCTCTGTGTTCCCCTTTGTTTTGATTCCATTGTTTCCCCTTTTCAATTAATTAAAGTGAGCACAGGAGGAAATTTTGTCTCACAAAATAATTTTGAAGATTACAATACAAGTAGAGAAAAAAGCTAGTATCTGCTGGCCTACAGAAATGAGATTATTGTCATAATACAATAAGGATTTTATCAAAATAACCGTTATATGGTTTGTCACAGGAAAAAGTTACCTTAGAATCAGTGCAGATATTGCAGGGCACAAAGAAATAGTTCCTTATAAACATTGTGAAATGCTTCAAGAAAGATGCTTTCTTATCTTAGCCTTCTGAGTTTATGTTCTGAAAGTGAAAAATTATGTTTTGGCAGAAACATTCATTATATAATTTTTTTTAAAAAATTAGTACCACATCTGGTATGTCAGCAACCTGGATCTGTCCCTATTTTATTTCTCTGTTGCAGAATTCAGATCGCAAAGGATACAGGATTTTCTTCCGAAAGGGATCATATTTGGATATCATAACAGTACAAGCACCACATCCACCTTCTCCACAGCCTAGTTTGGTTCCACACAGGCCCACTGAGAGAACAGGAATTAAGGAAAACACAAAAAGTGTTGGCAGAAACTTGCTCAAGTTATCAATCAAGGCTGAGCAACGAGTTCCTGCTGGAAGCAAAACACACATTTCTTCTGCTTAATAATTTAATATAAGCAAAGTTTCAAAACCTTGCATGTAACTATTGAGATCAACACCCAAACCCTTCATAAGGACTCAGCCCACACTCCAACACACTCTCAGAAACAAAAAAAATATCCTCGACTGCAACAGTTCCCATGGACTTTCCATGACTCAGAAAAGGAAATGACAAAAGGGAGATCGAGCACTGGCAATGGCTGAGCAGGAGCTCTTCAGGCATGCAGCCACAGCCCTGAGCCACATAGTGACAGCCTCCTTCAGCACCTCTCAGTGAAGGGGCTTGACTTCTTCCTACACCTGGTGACTCCTACAACCCAGAAGGCTCCCAGGCAGGTCAGTCACTCAGGGCTACAAGTTACACAGTTTTGCACTGGCTGGGAGCTGCATTTGATCTGCTCACAAACTACCTGCATCTCAAAAGTCATGGTCTGGCCACCCCATTTCTGATGGCTTGCCAATTGAGAGGGACAAAACTAGCCAAGCACACTCCCCAGGAGCCTGGGTCCCATAAAACCATAGGAGGGACACACTGAGAGCCAGAAGTCATTGAGTAGCACAGAATCCCTGCACAGACACCTGGGAGCTCACAGAGTATATGGCCTGTCCTAAGCAGTTTCCCCCACAGACTGATGAGTTCATGACCATGCTTTAAAATCAGGAATTACATCACATGTTCTGCAAAGGGAGTTCAGGAGAGAATTCCTTGAGTCGCTTCTGCTTAGGTTCCTTCACTCATTAGAAGCTAATTAGGCACTATTATTTATTGCAATGAGGATTGGCCAATATTGAGACTTTTGATGGGGTAAAATTCAGCTGATTTCATTGGCAATGGACACACTGAGTTGAGATAATCAGTGCCTTTCCCTATATCACACAGCCTTTGGAAAAGCAACAGATATTGCGATAGAGGGAACTCAATTCATCTTGGCTGCACTACAAACAGTGGGGTACTGACTGTTTCTAGAAGATCATAGAATCATTTAGGTTGGAAAGGATCACTAAGATCACCAAGTCCAACTATAAACATAATGCTGCCAAGTCCACCACTAAACCATGTCTTTGACACAAACCTAACACTGCCAAGTCCACAATTAAACCATGTCCTTAAAGCCACCACTGCTTTTCATACAGTCATTGAGCAGAAATACAGCTTTCCCACGCCATCCAATGTTTCTCTTAATAGTGCTAACCTGCCTCAATAAAACCTGTTTCTCAAAGTATTTGTCTGACCCTAAACAGAAAGCTCATGTGGAAGATCAGCATGTTTTGAAGAGCTCAGATTCTCTCTTTACAAAGCTATTGCATTACTTATCTACAAGCTTAGACATAAAAGTTCTAGCAGTAAGACAGGCACACCTAGGCACAAGAATCATGCCACTTACATTTCCTCTTGACCTTTATCCATCTATGGTATACTGAGATAAATAAAGCTGCTGATAACTCTGCTGGAAACCTCCAAGAGGAGTGTGATTCAGGTCCCTGTACTTCCTTCAGCTCCCAGACAAATGGAACACAGCAGCATGGTATGGGTACAGCAACACAGCTGTGAACAGTTTGGCAGATGTACACACCCAGCTGGCCAGACAAAAACTCAAGAAAACATGGAATGACTCTACCTATGGAACCAGACCTGGTACAGCCAGCCTGGTCATCACAGTGATAGCCACTCAGCTCTTGCAGCTGTTCTGACTCATGTGTTGACCAGTTTCAAACAGGGGTGAAACGTGATCGCTTGCATCTCCTCGTGTAAACATGCCCACCATACGTGGGGGGAGCCCCTGCCTTTGAGCCATCTGATAAACAGCACAAAATTATCAAGTTATGGGACATTAGCTAGCCAATATGGTGTTTTGGCCAGAAAATTCTTTGTCATTTGTGTGGAACAAACTTAAATTTCCTTCAGTTTTATTTCCATCTTATTATTGCTTCCTTTCCATCATATTATAATTCTGTGAAATTATCAGTATTTCCTTAAAGTATTAATAAATTATCTAAAGTATATAATTTAAGATTTGTTTAAGCCTGGAATAGCAGCTGTAATCTTTGCTAGCAAGAAAAACCAGACAATGCAAAGCACTCCCTCTTAACATTTTGTGCAAAAGCTCTGCCCAGTACTGAAATGACAGAACAGTAAACAATTATGAAATGCTGTAAGCATTTAAAGCCTTCTGCAGTTTTTTCTGGCACTGGATACATTTTCTTCGTAGATAAGTTAGCAGGGTTGTTTCTGGGTCCACATCTTTTTCCACCACCTGCAAGAAGGGAAAGATATTGATAAACACAAAATGTTTTACAACACAGATAAGTAAGTTTCAAGAGGAAAGCTGGTCTTTCTGCAACTTCTTTTCCAAAGCAGGGAGCAAAAAATCACTGATTATTTCAGCAACGTTGGTCATGTATCCAGACACAATGTTTCCTTGAATTTATTGTGTCAGAGGGAAGTATATGCATTACACACATCAGAGTTTTTCAGTCATGGCACACTGAGGCAAATCTAAAAAAAAAACCTTCATCAAAAATAGGAATGAGACTCAGTAGTGAGAAGAGAAAGAACTGTGTTTTGTACTCAAATCTTGGTTTCCTGACACATCCCAAATGGTGTCTCCTCTTTACTGACCCTGAATAACTGAATTCTGTCCTCTCTTTTATTGGAAGAGACAAAGAAACTGAGCACATAAATAGAATGACAGAAAGAGCATCTGTAATAGATTTTGCAGAGAAAAAAACCCAACAATGGAAATGGAATGAGACAACACAGGTGAAGCAGCATGGACAGCAAGTACCAATCCTCTGAAGTTTCTCCTTCCCTTGTAGCATTAAAAATCAATCCGTATTACAATAGTAGCTAGCCCAAATGTGGGAATACAAAATTCCAAGAAAGGAGAAATTTTTTGCTGCATATTTTGAGCCACCTCCATCCTGTTAATAAACCATATTATTAGAAGCTATCCATTAGACATAAAACGTTTAACTTCTGCCCAGTGGTCAGAAACCAAAGTTCTGCCCTTGCCACAGGGCTTGTCTTCCCCTTTTTCTGTTAATAATGAAATGTCAAGAAACTCTTCCAAATTGACTGTGTGCCAAAATATAATCATGTTCTTGACTCTTATTTTATGCAAGTCCTAAGTACAATAGTTACAGTTTATTTGAATTAATCACTCCCAGTTTGAAGGGCAAATTGAAGCAGGGGGTCATTTGTTCAAGTAATTTTTTTACTTTCTTTTTTCACTGATAAGAAACCTTCACAACCTCTGTCCTGCTTCAGTTTTATGCCTTTGACACATGACAGGGTTATCCTAAAGAGACATGGTTCATACTTCCTGTTTGAGTTCACTGTGTTAGAATTAACTGGTAAAATTGCTGCTACAACACACAACTGGTCACTTTTTGCACATCTCATTCCTTCCCTGGGGATGATCGGATGATCCACAGGAAAAAGAGTTCATTCTAGTTTGGGACTGTTGTATTGTAGATCATGCAGCACTCATTGCTGCTATTCCGAGCAGAGTGCCCCTGTTCCCTCACCTCCTGGACACATAGAAAAGCACACAGTGGCTCTTCCGTTACTCTGGTTCAGAGCAAGCCCATATATCCCTCTGCAGCACCTTGGCAAACATACAGATATGAGAAGGAAATTCCAAACATCCCTGTGACTGTGAGTGGACAAATGGCCTTTCAGAGCCATTCCACAGGCAAAGAGCCAGCCCCAGCAGCTCCCACTGTCACGCTGAGTTTCTTCCTCATGTCTGTGCCAATGGCCATTGCAAACCCTTCCAAAGCAGCTTCCAAGATATCCAGACACAGAGAAGAAATATCAGAATGGTTAAAGACTATTCTATGCTTATATAAAAAAAAAAAAAAACCTTTCAAGATATTTTCTTGAAAGAGTCCAAGAAGTGCTCAGTTATGTACTCAAACCAAGCAATTAGAAGTTTGGCCCACTGGCTTCTCTTCAGGAAGCAGGAAATAAAAGACAGGCCTAGTCCTTCATTTTTCACTGAACCACTCATCTCCATGTACTTTTAGTGACGTAAGAATGTGTGAAGTCCCAAAGCCAAAGCTTTGCTCAACTTTATCAGAAAGTATCTCCCACCACATCCCAGACAATCCACATCCTTACTCTGTTGCAGCCAACAGCCCTGGATTGCTACTTCTGCCACTTCAAACTACTCCAGTGGAGCTGTATATCTGCAATCCTGGCAGAGACTAGGCATCTGAGGGAGATATGGGTAAGAGTTTGGAGAACATTCTGGATTGACACAAATCACACACAGAGATCAAGGAGTCCTTTCTCTTCACTTCACATTCCTCCTGGAGGATGCCTGCTGATGAGTCTCTCTTGCTGGGCACAGGGTAATATTTTTTGCTGTTCTTGCCTTTTGCTCATTGTTGTCGATGCTGGTTTGTCCTCCAACATATCATTCCTCCCGTGGTTTGTTGCAATCTCCTGCTGTGATTTGTTCTTAAAGTGTTTTACAACACTGTGGGTGGGGATAACATGTCTTGTCTGATGCCCAGTACAATATAATTCACAGCTCAATACCACAGTTCCTGCTCACCTTCCCCAGTGTCCTTGTACAGAAAGAAACTGAATTCAATACATTTCCTTCTGTGGTTGTAGGATAGACAACTTCGATACCATAGTTAAAGAAATAGTTCCTTTTTGGTAAGTTTTTAGTGTTTGGTAATTTGTTTTTTTTTTAATCAAATGTCATATTGCAAGTGTATCAGATTGACAGCCATATTTTGACAATTTAAAACTGGATTTTACTGCATTTGGCAGCTTAATTATTAATCAAATGCAGAGAGAAACATTGTTGAAAATGTTGGGATGGCACAGTCAAATGACTCTCAACAAATTTACTCTGTACTGCTGTGTTTGTACTAAATGTCTGTTTGCCTATGATTCAAGGAATTTTAAATACTCAGATTCACCTCAGCAGGGAGCCTAGACTGGCCCTGAAGTTCTTTGTGGTTTTTAGTACCACACAGAGCAGGTTCTGAAGCAGTTCTTTACACCTTTAGAGTGCATGGACTAGTCCAGAAAAATGCTGAGCTCACATCCCCATAATTTTATGTACAAAACTTCAATCTCAATAAATATTTTGTTTTCTAGCTTCTCTACCTGCCTCTCACTAATTCAGATAACTTTGTCTTTACAACACAAAGTATATTTAAATTATTATTCCCAGAAAGTTAGAGACTTTTCAGATTAAGGGAACAGTAATTGAACAAGTTAAATAGAAGAACAGAAAGAAAGTGGAAACAAACTTTCCCAGTTTACCAAACAACTTGCTTTCCATCAGTTGTGGTCTATAAATGAGAAGCAGGTGTTTTCCTGAAGGACAAGCTCCCATACAATCACTAATCCCTGACCACTCATTAAGTTGCAAGAAGATAAAGTAAAAGGTTTTAACCAGACTGCCACAGAGCAAGTCAGATGTAAAGGTCCCCATGGACCTTAAAATCTGTCAGTGTGTTATTCCTGAAGTCAATGAGAGATTTCAAATTCATTTATTAGGAAAAAGGATTAGAACACAGACTAACAAACTGAATATTACCACACAATGTAAATTTGCTACTACTCATGAGAACATTTTGTTCTGCTTTAAACCAGCACACTGAAAGCTTGTAAGTCACTGTTTATGTAGAACCCAGAGGTTCACAAAGCTCAGAAAAAAATCCAGTATTTTAGCTGGTCCCATCAGCAATCAAATACCCAGAGACTTGGGAAGTGGTAAGAGCTCTAATATGGCTTCCAGCATAGATCCTCCTTTAGCATTCAGAATAGAAATAGAAATATTGACTCCATGTATTTAAACTAAAATTACATGCTACATATGCATGAGACAAACTTGTCAGCCAGGGAAAAAACATTGCCACTATTAGCTTTAAATAGAGCATGCTGATTTACAGTCTAGTCTAGCCAGACTATTAAGATAACTTTAAGTTAGTAGTGTGCCAAGCTATATGCCCAGTGAAGTAGACAGGTGCTGAAAATAAACAGTCCTGAATGTAAAGTATGCTCAGCTGCTTCAAGGAGACTTTTCCTTGACAGCAGTACAGACTGGGCTAATGTGAGGGAGAAGAATTTGCTGCAATCCATGTCCCTGTCTTACAAACCACCTCTAATCACATGGTTTTGTACAGTGACAATGTCAGCAGCCCATTTGCAATGTCAAGCTGTCATGAATTCACAAACCAGTAACCTTTCCCTCTGGCCATTGTCATTACCACAGTCTTTGCAGTGAATAAATTCGAATACTTAGTCAGGATCCCAGATGGATAGTGATATATCCTACCTCAGAATCATAAAATATACTGACTTGGAAGGGACCCACTAAAACCAAAGCTCAATTACTGCGGCTGCACAGGACACCCCAAGAATCATACCAGTTGTGTGAGCATCGTCCAAATACTTCCCGAAATCTGTCAGACTTGGGGCTGTGACCACTGCCTTGGGGAGCCTGTTCCAGTGCCCAAACACCCTCTGAGTGAAAAACCTTTTCATAACCTCCCCTGATGGATGCTGTTTCCTCAGGTTCTGCCACTGGTCACCAGAGAGAAGATATTAATGCCTGCCTCTCCCCTTGGCCTCTTGCTACCTGCTGTTTCAGCAGAATTGCACTTCCAGGCACTTCGGGCCACTCCTTCCATCCCATTACCTTTCACGTGCAGCAATGTCACAATAAACTCCACATACACTGCCAAAAATCAGGGTGCCCCATGAGTCCAATTCTCTCTCTTAAACCTGCATTTGGTCAGGTTGTAACTTGAAACACTTCAGCAACACACAGAAAGGAATAGGGAAAAAAAAAAAGCCACTGGAGGCTCTGGGTAGACCAAGTGAGACCTTCTCCTTTACTAGAACTGCCTGCTCCATGAGGCAGTGGGAAAGGATGCTGACAAAGATTTGACACTCAAAGGAGTTGGTAACATTGGGAATACTAATCATCCCTTGGTGGTTTTTGTTTAGCCAAGCCAAAGATCACGCTGTGAGAAACCCCTTTACACATGCCCACAGTCAGGCTTTCGTAAACAAGAACAGCAGTTCCATAAAAACTGCTGAAATGCAACAAGGTCAGTGTCACTCACAGCAGGTTTATTACCTTCAGGACATAGCAAGGACAGGCAGAAGATCCAAAATGAAAAGGTTGTTTTCTGCTAATGGCCTTCAGGACCTAGGCTGCCATTTCTCCCCCTCCCCACCTCACCCCATGTGTATAAAAGAAAGACCCACAAGGCCAGCTCTGGGCTTTGACTAAGAGACATTTTAATGTGTTAGCAAAATGTCTTCTCCAGGAAGAAGGACTTTTCTAGCAGTTTACACAGTGCAGTGTTCTTGTAATAACTGAGCACCAGCCAGTGCTGAAGCACCACTTGTGACTGCATGTAGGAATTTGTTTATAAACACTTCATACCTACCATGAGAGGCCTATTGATTCTGAACCTCAGCTGATCTGGCACTAGAACTACAATTCTCTCTCATTAGGGCATACCAGGGGAAAAAAAAAAATAATAAAACAAGACAGGACACTTAGCTTGTATCAGGATCTGGATTGCCTAACACATTTGTGGCAACCTCCTAATGCAAGATCTAAAGAGCTCCAAGCTCACCCTCTACAAACCGAGGTTCACAAAGGAGGCATCTCATAAAAACTTCACAAAGAGCAACAAGACAACAAGTTAATGGTGTGACACCTGCACCCACCCTAGCAGAAAATTCACCAGATAAAATTCACAGACCATCCTGTCACAATTTCACTCACCAGACTCAATTAGCTAGCTACAATTAACTTGGAGCTTCAAGTTTTCAACTCTTTCTAAAAACAATGAACAGCTGATATGTCAATTAACATATAAACCACGACTAATCTGTGTAAGCAAAGCTTTAGTTGTCATCCTTCTCTATAAAACCTCAGAACCAAGCCTGGGCTCTACATCAGATTACCTTTAACAACTCTATGACTAACTTTTACTGCACACTTGATAAACTTAGTTCTTCAGTAAACTGTTCATGTATCAATAAAACAAAACATTAATATCAAATCCACTAGTACCTTGGAAAGTTCTACTTCAAATCCAGTTTGGAATAAAAATTCATAACTAAAACCCCTAATGGTAGCTACACTCTCATCCACATTAAACCACCATGAAAAACCAAAAGAAAGCAAAATGGATAGTAACCCTGTGTCAGTCTGTAAGGCAGGGCACAGCTTTTTAACCAGCTGAGAGTATTGTGTGCTCCCTCAAGAGACTAAAAAATTGTCTAGCCCAAACTTAGTACACTACCCGATTTACCCCTAAGCAGTGCTCAGGGAAGGTTTGCAAACTCTTAGCTCCACATCAATGGATACGCAAACCTGTCCCCTCCCCTTCCCAGCAGGAAGGGGCTTTGGCACAAGTCCCCCTGCCCAATGTCTAGGCAAGGGGAAGGTGGGAAGGCAGCACTGAGCTGAGCTCAGAATTAACTTAGTAGTTGGTCAAAGTCAGCTTCGACTTTTGTAACAAGCCTTTGAAGAGGCAAGGCTGCCTTGCTAGCCAGGCAGGGTCCAAACGGAGGAAAGGGGGCTCTGGGACAAGCTGTTCAAATGTGTCCATCATGTGCAATGAGCACCCCAGCCTCCTGTGAGACACAGTCACTTCTCAGGTTATTGTCAGGAATCCGTATCAGCTAATGGGCTTTCATTCTGAAAAGTTTTCTAGCTTCTTAAATGGGAATGGAATAAACATTTTTCTAAATTGCTTTCAGAAACTAGATGTTAGAATTATTTATTGAGCATATGAATTATATACGGATGCTTCCATTTGAGTTAAATTTTCAAAATCTGTTGTAAATACTGAAATTATTTTTAGTAGAAATGTCTGTATTAAGCAGTGCATACTTATTTAAAAGTAGTTACATCAGAATTGTAGTAAATTATTGTCCATAAATCCAAAATGTAAAAGGAATATTATGTAATTGTGTTATTCTTTGAATAATTCACAAGGTAAAGTCAAAGAAGAGAAAAAGCCATTTAGCAAAGCCATATGTAGTCTTCACAATTTAATATTTAAAAGCCATGGAACACATATTTTTGTCAGAAAACTTAAGAGGAGGAAAAAGATGACCAGAAAAGTAAGTAATCAATCCAGGAGCAAGGTGGAATCTTCCTTACCTTTTTACCATTCACAAAGAAAACAAGTTCATCCCCTGCCTCGTTGGGAGCCATTCTGCACACCTTTCCAAACTTCACTCAAACAGGGCCACAGATCAGCCTTGTGAGAGCAGCCCAAAGTGAGCACCAGCCCAGCACAAGTAACACAAAGAGTCTGCCTCAACAATGTTTGACTTTATTTGTACATCAGTGCCCTGTGAAACCCCATATTATATAAGAGGCAATGAAGAGGCGTGCCAGCTGCGTGTGGTTGGTGCTCCTGCAGCACTAATGACAGAAAAGGAGCTGGAGCAAGCAGAGTGACCCGCCCCCTTTTATATAGCAGAGGATCACAATTCAGCTGCATTCCCTTTAGATTATCCTGCCAGGCTTGGGGCACTGCCACTGCTGCTAGCAAGGAATTCACAGGGTTTTGCAATGCAATGCAAACTTCAGGGGAGGGAGGGGGCATTCTCCCAGCTGTCCTTCACCAAATATTGACAAGAAAAAGCTGTTTCCCTTGTTCTGTGCACAGCCATACACCTGGCATTCACCACACAGAGGTCTTTAATGACAGCACCTGCTTATTTTAAAAACTCCTTGATACGTGCACATCTACTGCTAGCCCGACTGCAAGACTATTTCACTATTTTTCCTTGCAGTTCTAAAGCTGCAGTATCCTCTGCCTCGGAGAACATATAAACAGGTATGTGTTTGTCCACATAAAAACAATTCTAGTAAAATGGCACACTAATCCAGCACCTCTTTTGAGGTGCTGGGCTAAGACCATGTCATACTTTAAGAGCACTGGACTCTTGAAGTATTTAGTCTTACCTGTTTTGGCTTAATCCTCACATCCTGGTTCCGAGGTGCATGTTACCAGTGAAACACGGAGGAAAACCAAGGATTTTTTTGTCTTCCATTTCCCTGGTGGTGGTTTCTTCTGGCTTCTTTGTTACACAACCACACATTTTGTGTGAAGCTTTCCTGTTTATTTCTTCCAAAGCTGTTGGCAGAATCATCCACGTGAAGGCAGAATTCATAGGACTTGCATTGGTTTAATGAACAAGATATCTAAACAGCAGCTTCCAGTTTAAAATTCCACCACAAAACAGCACAGTTCCGAAGTCTCATTGAAGTTTCCTAGCATTGTACCTTATCCTGTCTGCTCCATTCTGATTCTTGTGATTTTGCTTTCCTTCTTCAGTTTCAATTAGTTTTGATTAAGTTTTTTAATTATTTCTTTCAAATCCCTAGGAAAGCACTATATCAAAGTCTTCTTCTCAGGAACCTCTCTGAATAATTCATGAGATAAAGCCTAATTAAATTACAATTTTCAGAAACAGTCTTTCCTTCAGTATTACAGAAACATTTCACAGTGAATACAATACATACATTATTTTTACCAGCTTTTATCTTCTGTCTCATTTATTCTGTTTCCAGTCTGTACCCTAGAAAACCTATTTTATAACAAATGTTAAACATGGTTCCAGCCTTCTTTACAAGCATTTCAGTTTGCTGAAAGTAGAGGTCACAGCAACTTTATTCTTAAAACCAGCTGCCTTAATCTATGTTTTCAGTGAAGTTGTGCATAGCTGAACCAGTGCTGACACCTATTGTCTGGCACCTCCTGCTTTGCCATATCAGACTACTGGAAAAAACACTTTTCTCCAAGTAATCTTAAACTCTGTTGTTTGACATTTCTGTGCAAAATTTACACAAGTACTACCCTCACGTAGCAAGTTCCAATTTCAAAATTAGCGTACACAAGGTTACTACTCATTAATAGTTTTGTAATATTTCAAATAACAATTGTTACTCATAACCACAAGTAACATGCTATTACAGCAATCTCAAAGCAACTAGCCATTACAGCATTAACACCAAAATCAAACTTGTTTAGTTTCCTAATCTGTGTTTTCCATAATGCATGATGCAGTTCTTAGGTTTAAAGAACACTTCCAATCATATAATCACCTTTTTGAGGAAGCCCATACTCAAATTTCTGCCTAGCCTTGGTGACATTATAGGTAAACTTTCTGCTAAATCAGTAAGCAGCGCCTTATGATAGTCCATCACAGGAATTTGATCCATCAACCTACTATATACCTAAAACAAAATTAAAGATAAATACAATCATGATAATGATCTCTATATGTAGATTACATAGTAATTTAAAGCTTCAGACCTCATCTCAGTGACTGATCACACAGCACCAAATTCACTCATTCTCTCACCACCCCGATGGGATAGTCTATTACTATACCCATTGCAAAGGCAGAGAACCAAGACATACAGAACAGAAATTTTCCCAGTGCCTTAGTAACTCTGGAGCATGAGAGCACGTGCTATTGCAATCTCCTGTCCATTTTTTGAAATCCCATCTGCTTGGAAACAGAACAGAGGATTACAAGAAATCAGAGAAAAGAAAGTGAAAGCAAAAGAAAGCAAACTCACAAAATCCTCAACCCAGAACTCCCTTAAGTGAGCTAAAATATTAAACTTTCCTCAAACAAAAATTAGTTATGAGACAAAGTATTTAGACTTACCAGTCAGAAAAAGTCTAGCAGGCTTCTCATTTTAGAAACCATCCCTTTGCTCATTCATAAATCTGAGATGGGAATGTTGAAGAAGTTTAAAATTCCCTGCAGTTTCATTCACTCACTAAAGCAGTTTATATTAGTCAAGAATATATATTTTCTTAAAAAGCAGCTGACTTTCCTCATTCTGACTGGTTAATCCTACAGACCTGGCTGTTGCAATCATAATAATATTAATCATCTGTTCTGCAGATGATCACATGTGTCACTCTGTAAATACAGTGAAATTTATGGAAACACCATTCCTGCCAGGAGCTTACTGCTAGAATTAGGTAAATGGATGAAAGTACAATAAGGACACAATGCCAGGGGTAATAAAGGAGGAGATTTAAAACAAACGGAAGTGAGATTTGTTGCTCTGTTCTCACGTTCCTCTTCCAGGAAACGGGAAAGAAGAAAGCACAAGTGACTCTGAAGAGAATTCTATGAAGGGATTTACGAGGAGCAATTTTTCAAGCAAATACAAAAGAGAACAGAGTCCCAAGTCAGTGCTTTAATGCTGTAAGCCTTGTATCAAGCTTCCAGTGTCTGCACACTCACTCTGTGTGCCCGCTGCCCCTCTGGAGCCACTGCTGCTAAACCACTGTGACAGCACCTTTCCCTGAGTGGAAACAACCTGTTTACTTTAGTTCTGGTGATCCCTCCTCTGTTGGCTTGTGTATCCTGGGTGGGAACACACACTGGACTCTCTTCAGGGATTTCAAGAGATCTCCACCTGCTGTTATCAGGGTCAGCCGTGAGGGCATAAAAGGTTAATTAGAGCTGTGCACACCATCTCTAACTTCTTAAAAATCCCTTTTTAGAGCTTCAGCTATTGGTTGTTGTGGCTTTTGTTCTGAGCGTTCTCTGTACAAGTTCTAAAAAAACCCAAAATATCATAGAGTAATGATTAAAAATTGAGTGTAAAGACAGAGTGTGGTACCTGAGGATGTTTGTTCTTCTCTTTGGCATCACCTATCAGCCACTGGTGAAGAGAGGTTCCTGAGAGAAGTTGGTCTTTTATCTTACTGGATAGGGACATTCATTCTTTATTGCCAAAGTCTCCAGAGAGTTTAAAGAAACAAAACCATTTAAGATCCTAATACAGAAAGTAAACTTAATACTCTACAATAACAAAACATTCAAAAAACCCCAACCAAACACAAAAGCCCCCAAAAAAATCTCCACATAAAATTGACATATGATTATGAAAGTAAAGTACTGCACATTTTTTCAAAGGCATTTCTCAGAAATTAAAAAAAGGAATTATGTTCATGCATTTTCCTATGAGAGGTCTAAATTCCTTTCTGGTTACAGACAGATATTTTAGAAAGATCATCATCACAAAGCAAATATAAATTTAATTTCCCCATTGAGGTTTGTGAGTGGATACTAGCTCATTATTAATGAATCACTAATCATTCAGTGTTCAGCTTCTAATTATACAAATATTGTCTAATTATCCAGATTTATTGCATAAATTCTGATCTCTTCACCTGCTTTTGAAGATGGGTGGAGTTTAATTATACCTCTTTTCTTTGTCCTACCACCTGTCTTCCTATGAGAGCAAGAAACTAGCAAGGTTAGCCAATGCAGCCTTCTGTTGAGGTGTCCTGCTTGTCAATATTCATCACAACAACTAGCAGAGCATGACTTATTTCAATGCATTCAGTGTTTCTTCCAGTGCCTACTTCCAGTGGGCCAAACAAAGGATGTTTCAGATATCTGACCTGTAAAGCATTTTCTTTTCAAGCAGGCTTGTTAATGTGTGTTCCTTGTCTTCAGCAGCACCAAACTTGACACCTATCAGTTGTCTTTTACCTGCTTCCAGGTACCATGTGAGAGACACTTCCTATATCTGTCCTGATAATCTAACTCAATAAAAATCATACCTCCTTCTTATCTTTCTTTCTCTTCATCTGTTGACATTTAAGGAGCATCTTTTGTATTTAAACATTATATCTCTGTCCCAGAAGGGGGCAGAGATCACTTGCAGACAGTGACATGCTGTTGCTCCTGGTATAGGAGGAAGCATTGTCTCCAAAGAGTCTTCCAGGGAAGAAAGGGCAGGGAAGCAGCAGCAAGAACCACACAAGGTTCTCCATTCTTCTGAACAGCTGCTAAAGCACTGCCTCTCTGGCTTCTAATAATCCCATGATATTCCAAGATCCCTGCACAGGTAAGTAGGAGCTTCTGGGCCAGATGAATTAAGTGAAATGTAGTTCCCATACCATACCCATGCATGGCTAACTTTATACTGCTCCTCTTCACAGGAGGGAGTCTCTACAAATAAGTCTGCCTTGCTTGTTTTGTTCTGCCCTGTGAAGGTATGAATTAATTTTGTTTGGCAGATGGTAATACCTAGTTTTCTCTTGCCTATACACTGGATTCAGTCTAGCATGTGGCTCCTTGTCAAAACTCTGATACTAGCTATTTGAAGTAAATTTCTATTTCATATACTGTCCTGATCCTGCCTGAGCACCTGCACAAATCCTCTGACTTGCTCTGTGTCTCACTGGTAATTTTCTTCTCATTTCAGAATGCAGTATTTTGATGGACAGTTCATTTGAAAAACCAAGAAATCCTCCACAGCTGCTTCTGCTAACAAAGAACCAAAAAGGTTTTCCTGAATCAACCAAGTGTTTGACTGATCTA